GATGTATATGATTATTTTAACACGTCTAGAAAAGGCAAATATAAGTTTTCTGTCCAAATTTCAAGTCTCTACTAATATTTTTAACTGATTTATATCAAATAACCAAATTGAAAAATAACAAAAGAATTATTTTCGTAAATTTCTTGTTTTTCTTACTTTTTAGCCTAGTTTTCTCAGATTTTATGAGAACACTTGGAAAATTAAAAAATGACCTCCCTAAAGTACCACCCCAGGAAAGTCCCCTGTAAGAAAAAAAGCTATACTTGATACTTTAGAGCAAAATTGCTGGTAGAATTTTTGTACACAGTAAAAACAAATTAAATTTCATTGTAAAACTAATATATTCTGAGCTTCATTTAAGATCTAAAATAATTATAAACTCCTAGGGTTCTTTTTCGGAAATATCAATGCGTTTATTGTATAGTTTTATCTATAGATAGGTTAGAACTTTGCATCTAGTGTCAATCTAGACAATTTTTTTTAAGTATTTCATTTGTGATGTTCGAATGAAATTCCCAAATTAAATATTCGTCACAACTACTAATTTTTGTTTTTCTTTTAGCGGGTTTATAAACACATTAACGGATGTATGGATTGATTTCATTACTTTTAAAAGGAAAAGAACGCGAATTAATTCTTTATTCTTAGGAAAAGGAAAGTAAATATTGTAATTCTTTTGTCTTTCCTAGAAATGTGTTTTTAACATATTTTGAGAGAACATTTTCGTTTATCAAGTTTTTACATGCATGACGTATACTTAAGATTATTATTGGAAAATCATGGGTATATTGCTTATACTCTCAAATAGTTAAAAAAAATTCGTTATGATGATTCATATTCATATTATATATTGCAATTAAAACCGTTTTTATTGAGATTAGGTACTTAAATAATAATACAACTTTTACATTTAATAATTGTTATCAATAGTAATACTAAAAAACAGTTGAACATACATGGCACGATGGGTGGGTCACTGTTGTAGGTGAGAAGTTGGGAAGGCAACGGGGAAATTTAATGTATATTTGCAAGCAAAGATAAGTCATTTTACTAAGGAAAAACGATTCTGAGCGGAGTTTGGTTACACGTATTTTGAATAGTCATATATTTATGATTTGAAAAAAATAAAATTCGTACATTTTTCCGTTTTTTCGTTTTTGTTATTACCTTGTTTTTTTCTATTTACTATGAAAACTCCCGGAAAAATCAAAAAATAACCACCCTTAAGTACCATTCAAGTGAGATTCAGAAAAAAAGCTACACTTGAATATCGGCGCAAAATTGCAGGTAGAAAAATTTTCACAGAAAAAAAAATTAATAAAAAAATGAATACCATCGTAAAACCTGTACAGTCCTCGCACTGCTCAGAATAAAAAATTTACAATTCACAATTTACAATCTATACAACATATCTATTTTCCTATAAACAGTATAAAGTATACACCGCAAGGAAGATATAAAATACCTCATGTAAGGCACAGGATGTTATATACTCTTGAACCAATTGACGGAAACAGCATTGTCTATACCACAACAACAGGTAAATATGATGATGTTGAAATATCTTTTCAAAGAAACAAGTAGTAAAAAATAATCGAGGAAGTGAAATAATTCCTTTTTATGTTAAATCAGTGGTTACCAAACTTTTTTCTTTACCACAAAAAAAAAATCTAATAGACACTCTCTCAAAGATCAAAGTACACTAAAATATTCAGTCATATAGGTGTCATTAGGTGGTAACAGGGGTAGCATTAAATTATCAAATTATTAAATTATAGTAAGTTAGAATACCACCATTATTCGTTTATATGAGTATATGAGATGCGTACTTTAAAACGTTGTTCGTATAGGTTCAAATTTACAATACGCATAAACGTCATCATATAATGACGTCATACATACGAATATAAATGCAATGCGGAAAACATTCGTATGATGATTCGTTTATCTAAGTTTCGTATTTTCGTTTGTACAAATACCAAATCATGTTCGTAAATAAATGACGAACGTCATATAAAATAGTCTCGAATATACCAGGGGCGCATGACTCGGACGTGATTGCCGCGACGAGTCGTCGGCGCCAGCCTTCGCCGCCGTAGCGCACACAAACCTCATGATCTCCTGGTCCTTAATAAAATTCTCGATTTGATGCCGACCCCAGCCCTAAGAAAAGTTTCGAAACGTTAATAATCTGAATGGTACGACGTCATTGTATAATGACGTTAATCCGTATTTTAATTTTGAACCTATTGGAAGAACATTTTAAAATACGTAACTACACCGTACCTCTAACTTTTTCTACTTACTATAGGAACACTAATTTAATATCCTGGTGTTTTGCTAATGTTTGGTTCGATTTTTGTGAAAAGCATTCTTAAGTCCTTACGGTTGGTTATTTGTAATCGTTAGTCTTTTTGTGAGTAAATTGGTTAGATTAGGTTGTTAAGAATTGAAGACGTGTAAGGAGATTTTATTCAATTGCTAGTGGAAGCTTTATTTGAAAAAGAAAACGAACATTTTAATAATGAGTGTACTGCTAAGTCGATATACCTAATAAACGCATTCGTATGACAACAACAGCAAAGAAAATAGGATTCAATTTACCGTTGTCTGCATTCAATGTACGTCTCAATTTTAATTAAAAAGAAATATTGAAAATATGCACGAGTATTAAGAAATTATAGACTTGTTTAAGCCCGAAATATATGATATTCCTTCAAATGCTGTGCAAAAATGCTGGTTGAAGTACAATTTGAAAATAGTAGAGACAAAAAAAATACCGAATACCGAATAAACTCAGAATAGGTTTATATTTGTAACACGGAGTTTTTAGCTGATGGTATAAACTTATTACTAGAACTAGATTTCGTAAAAACGTTAGGAAAAATTAAAGAAGTGTCAACGAAAGGTAGCGGCTTTGGATATCTAAATATCGTATTTTCGGTTGTACAAATACCAAATCATGTTCGTAAATAAATAACGAACGTCATATAAAATAGTCTCGAATATACCAGGGGCGCATGACTCGGACGTGATTGCCGTGACGAGTCGTCGGCGGCAGCCTTCACATATTCCGCTTAAGACATATATGGAAAATAAAAAACCTACAAAAATGTAAAAACGACTACAAAAAATGCTTCAAATATAGCTTACTTGCCAAATTCATATATTGAAAAAATGACACAAAAGTCGAATAAAATTATGCTTGTGTAGAAGATAAGTATAATTTTTCTAAGATGAAATACCCCGTTTCTTTTAAAGATGTACACAAATTTGAAAATGAAAAGCCCGGAGTTTCAATTAACGTGTATAGATTAAACCAAATAAAGTCTTCTTACAAATATAATGTTCACGAAAAAAATAAATCAAATAAGAAATTTCAAACAGGTAACAGGGGTAGCATAAAATTATCAGATTATTAAATTATAGTAAGTTAGAATACTACCATTATTCGTTTATATGTAATGGCGCTACGTCTTTTAAAATATTGTTTGTTTAGCTTGGAAATTAAAATACGGATAAACGTTATCATACACTGACGTCATACGGACGAATATATAAATGCATTACGTAAAATATCCGTATGACCGATGATTCGATTATCTAAATATCGTATTTTCGGTTGTACCAAATCATGTTCGTAAACGAATGACGAACGTCATACGAAATAGTCCCGAATATACCAGGAGCGCATGACTCGGACGTGATCGCCGTGACGAGTCGTCGGCGGCGGCCTCCGCCACTGCAGCGCACATGGATCCTCATGTTCTCCTGGTACTCTGTGGTCCTTGAAAAAAAAATTCTCGTTCGATGAGCCAACCTATTTGGAAGAACATTTTAAAAATGTAAAAACTACATCGTACCTCTAACTTTTTCTACTTACTATAGGAACACTAATTTAACATATATATATATATATATATGTATATAAATTATAAATAAAAATATATGTGTGCAATTTTTTTACCGGAAGATTTTTTCGGTTTTTATGTAGCACATTTTCTGAAAGGAAATCGTTATGTGGAAGGACTTTAAAGGAGATAACTTTTTGTTTTGTCCAAGAGTTTTCTAAGGAAATGGGAAAAAAACTGTGATAAAACATGGGAAACCCTACAAAAACGTTGTGAAACTAGGACAATCGTTACAACATTTTACATAAATTATAAGAGATTATATATAAAGCTTATTTCATTATTTTCCTATAAAAATTACATATATATTGTTGACAAATCATTACTATCAACTGAACTCTGTTCTGAATTTTTTTTTTCGAAAGAAATGATTTATTGTTGCTTAAACTACTTGACCGATATTAGTTATCCTATTTTTTCTGTGATTGAATTCTTTATTAGGGTTAGGTATAACTTTTCAACCATATATTTTTACCAACCTTTAAGTATATTAATGTTTTTAAAAGGAAATTTTATTAGGGGGGTATTTTAGAGAGGTAATTTCTCGATTAGATTTCCTTATAAAATTTGAAAAATGTTGATATTAGTTTAAATATATTTTTGCCTTCTTTTTTTTTGTAAACAACATTTCTACTGGCAATTTTGCTCCAACTTTTATTTTTTCGTTTGGTTATTTATAGGCCTATGATTTATATGCATAAGTATGTTTTTTTTGCAACTTCTGATTACTTATTTTGTAAGTAATGTCCACGAATTAGCTCTTGTTGAGGTAAATGGTGGTATTTTTATTTGTCATATTTTTGCATATTTTGAACAAAATGAAGATTTGTATACATTTTGACTACAAAAAGTGCATGTTTTATAGTATATTTCGTTTCAATTCATTTCATCGCCGTGCAAAAATACCTAAATGTAATTTTATCTTATCTTATCTTACTGTCATATACTCGTACACTTACTGGTACAGGCATACAGCTAAAAGTTAGTTTGTGTTTTGACAGTCATCGTCGTATATCGTGTGTAGTGATACGTTACCGTGTTATTTACGAACTGTATTGGTTTCGTTACCTACTTAGATTCAATTATAAAATGCCAAAAATACAAAGTACCTCTGTAAAACTTCGACAGTATGTCGAAGAGTTTTCTAGTACAGGTTTAAAACCGATGGTAAAACACTATTTTGTAATATTTGTGACCAGGCAGTCTCATCAAATAAGCGCTTTCAAGTAACTCAGCATTTAAATACAGCAAAACACCTCAGTAATTCAACAATAAAAGAAAAAATGAAACAAATATTTATTAAAGACTCATTTAAAGATCAGAACTCAGAATTTTCGCTCGATTTATGTCATGCATTTTTAGATTCTGATATCCCTTTATGGAAATTGCATAATACAACTTTTAATAAATTTGTGCAAAAGTATACTGGTAAACATATTCCGGATCAATTTACAATACGAAAAAAATGTGTATCAGTTCTTTGCAATGAAGTAATTGACCGTATTCGTAAAGAAATTGGTGAAGGCCCCATTTATGTTTCAATTGATGAAACTACAGACGTTGACAGAAGGTACGTAGCTAATGTTATACTTGGTCTTATGCACGAAGAGATATGTTCTAAGTCGTATTTATTGACTTGCGAGGAACTTTCAAAGTGCAATTATCAAACAGTAGGGAATTTATTTCACGATGCTTTAATTATACTTTGGCCCAACGACATTAAATATAATACATTTTTTTTTTATTTTTAACTGACGTTGCACCATACATGGTGAAAACGGCTAATACACTAACTGTATTATTTCTAAATATGATACAAGTGACATGTGTAGCCCATGGTTTACACAGAGTGTGTGAAACAATAAGACATGAGTATCCGAATATCGATAATATGATAAATTGCGTGAAAAAAGTATTTATAAAAGCTCCGAGTCGTGTGTTGAAATGTCGAGAATTATTTCCAGAATAACCTTTGCCTCCACAGCCAATACTTACCCGATGGGGAANCCATAAAATCGGTGCTTTTGTCTTTAGACGAAAATACTGCGAAATCGATAACGAATGCTATAGCTTTATTTGAAAATTGAAATATACAAAATGATTTAGCTTATATAAAAAGTAACTTTGGCTTTATCACTCAATCTATTTTGAAATAAGAAAATGCATAATTTTTACTCGATGAGAATTTGGAAATCGTCGAAAACACCGAATCTAAACTTGGCCAAAACAAAGGATCGATCGCTGAAAAAATATAAAAATGTGTTAGAAAAAAATACCGGGCTAAAAGCTATGTTTACGATACGTAATATTTTAAATGGCAACAATCTAGATGAAGATTTTCCAAATCTAACTCCTGGGGAAGTAACAAAATTTAGACATGCAAAAATTACGTCGTGTGATGTCGAACGGAGTTTTAGCAAATATAAAAACATACTAAGGTCAATCAGAAGATCGTTTATTTTTGAAAATTTAAAATATCATGTAATTGTTTCATGTAATTCATTTGAGTTATTGTAATATCATAAAAAAAAAATGACAATAAATACATGACTAATTTTGAAATTTAATTTGTTAATTTTTTTTTTTTTTTTTTTAAAGAAATATTTCCCTGTATAGTATTTTGTGGGAATACGAATGAGCGGACAATTTGTTCAGTTTTGCAATATAAACATATGTCATATAAATGTTCCAGTGGACGGAATAATCGGCCCGATTCAAATGGTTTTGTCCATATTGTGAACCAATGTACTGATTGATAAATAAAAGGAACGTTAACAACACTAAATAATATTCACTCTGATAATAATTATTTTATTGAATAATATTTTTTCAAATTTATTAATAGTTTATGTTATATAATAATAATCATGTTAATATTTTAATTTTACTACTGAGTAGGTTTTATATATGTGTGGGTAATAATAATGTACGCACACACCTTACTCCTAAAATCAATCTATCCACTATGTATATAATTTTCTTATTAATGAATTAAAAATTAATGTATAATGTATTATTGAATATGATAATATTGTATTGATTATAATAATAATAATAATAATATGAATAGGTATATAGCATAATAAAATGATTAATAACAAAAAGTCTTTAAATGTAAATTAAAAAATACAAATAATATTAATAATATTCCTACGTTTAATTCATAAATAATAATTATAAAAATTGTAATACATAATGTTCCATAAATTAAAATTAAATATAAAGAAATAAAAAAAAAAAAAACGAAAATTATTAAAATATACAAAATTACTAAGTAAAACCAAAAAAAATTTTGTAAGTATATTTTAAAATAATATGGTTAAGGATAAAAAAAAAAAACGCAAAAATACAATACTAAGAATAAAAAAAAAATCGTTTTATGCCATCGGAGAAGTATATTATAATTTTATAAGGAGATAGGTAAATCTCGTATAGGTTATAACGTCACACAGAAGTTTAAAAATGTATAAGAAGTATAAAGTTAGAACTTTTTTTTTTTTATTAAGCGTTATATTAATTTATAATCACTACAGTGTTGTATCATCGATAAAGTTTATTAAAATTTCAGATAAATGTATATAGGTAGTATAGGTAATTTAGGTGTTTATTCCGTCGTAGTATTTTTTCTGGTTTTTTTAATGGACTTATATGTAATATTTGATCAAGATGCGAGATGTTCGAGAATAATCGTAATTGTTTGTTCGTTAGAAGATCGATTTATTTTTTATATTCAAAAAGATTACATAATTGTTTTGCGGCAATCGTTTGGTACCCTGCCGCGATGGAATAATAATGTATTAATTCAACGCGGTCGGTAATGTTTATACAAACACTCCGAATCCACACTTAACGCCGGACTTGTTTTGTTCTTTTAGCAATATTTTAAATCGCGTAAACCGGACATTCGTTGGTGCATAATATAATTTTTTTTAAGCGTTTTCCATTCGATCGCAACCGTGTACCTACACTGATGTAAAACGTTTCGCTCGCTATCGCCCGACGGCCGTCGCCGGCCCATCGAATTCCCTACGACGGTGAAGTGAAATCTCATCTATACGCGCGAGTGTGTTACAACATTTATGTTGTCCATCCATGTTCGATGAGGACCGGGCGAGCGATCTATAGTACTCTGGTCTGATAGCTGTTATCCAGTTCGCGATATATCACCATGTCGTACGAGAATATTCTAATATTACGTTTCACTTCGCAATATTGTTCATTAAAAAAAAATAAACACCGGGCACACCGGCTGAGTGTGACGTCCACTGACCGCGCGTAGTGTAGGTACGCAGGTGTAATCGGACGAAAAACGCCATTAGATACCTAAAATATTGTACGACGAATCAACGAAATATTACCTATACTACACTATTCGGATAGATATTAAATTTAGTTATGATAATAATAATTATAGTTCCAATATTATGCAGACATTAAGAATATAATATAATATAATATAATAATAATAATAATAATAATAATAATGTATATAATAATAATAATTACGAAACGTAATATTTCCAAACATCAACACGCTAATTTTATTAAAATGTATTATATTATGTAAAACCGAGATTAATATAAAGTAAAAGAGTATATAATAATTATTTTTAATGTAATATAACGTAATAATAAAATATTATGGGTGTTATTATTATACGGATATTACCGTTAAACTACAATAGTAATAATAATAATGTAACGTAAGAATTATGACAGGTAAGTATAATATTAAGAATAATACTAAATGACTTATGAATTAAATAGTACGTCTTATTATATCTATTTTTTTTTTTTTTTTTTAAGTATTTTTATTATTGATTTCGTTATCGCTACAATGAAAACACACTCTAGCGATACCCACTACTCATATTATAACGGTACCGACATTGCAGATAACGTCGACTTAAATAATCTTACTATTGTTTATCATCGAACCCCCTCCGGACTTTTGCCCCTCGGATATCGCTTGTTTTTCGCCTTTTCCAATCCCGTTTTATAATTCATAATACCCGACACTGTATACTGAATAAAGTCGATTTTGGCGACTTTCAATATACTCGCATACAAAAGTAATTTTTTCTTTATCTCGTTGGGTTCGCGATGTCCGCATGTCCACAAATCGGATACGATTTTGGCAATAATGTTTATTACCTATTGTATTATTATAGGAGATCGACACTTCGGATAAAAATTACGGGCGGAATCTTATTGTATACCGTAATAACATTACAACCAATCGATCGTAATATTATCATCAACATGGAGGGGGTCGTTTATCGAAAAAATCATTTTATACAGGTATTTCATTGCAATGTCTACATTTTCGGTATCATTCCGTATATGGCTACAGCGAAATCGATTATTGTGCACGCTAAACGTAGTAAAATTATTATTCTAAATAATTATCGTGATTAATTCTAAGCTTATAATATAGTAAATATTATGAGTATATTTCTACACACACGCGTTACCGTACATCATTCAAAATATTTTATACCTATGCATAACTAAATTTACTATAATTTATATTTGGTTTTCTTGCCAGTTCAATAATAATTTAATTATAGTATTTATGATTATTATATTTTTACGTAGAACACAATATTATTATTACGTATCATCTAAAAGCGATATATTATCATATATTTTAATTTTGCTAACCGCTCTTCGGCAGGACGAGACTACGCGAAAATCAGTATCGTAGCGTGCTACTAATTATTATAATAATATTGTTACATATTTTATACCTACGAGACAACTAACGTTATCTGGTTTACAATATTGTTATACTGTGTGTACATTATTAATTACTTAAGCGGTAATGACGATCATTCGTATATGAGTAAAAACAATATTCTATTCTTTTGTTCGCGAACAATTATGTAACTATATTAAATTACCATTAAAATGCCTACGGTGAAATATTGCTTAAAATTAATTTTAACACATCTACTTTGTAATATTAATATTATAGTTTATTTTATTTTTTTTTTGTCGCGAATAAGAAACGCTGAAGTTATAGTGTTATGACGTGTTGACAAAGGACCGTCGGAAAAGACCAATAATATCAATATCAGGTTCGGAAATGATAGATTGTTGTCGACGAGAGAAACGCAAACGTACGGCTAACAATATTATAAACATAATATTCGTACGGGACGATTTTTTTTTTTTCCGTTTTTCTTTATCCGACACAATATTAGCGCCACTTTTCGGTCGTGATTTTCAAACATTTTTTTTTCGCGTTTTTCATGAAACCTGTGCGATTTTTTATTGTGTCGACGTCAACGCCGCGCAAAAACTATGATATTATTTTTGTCTATCAAGTTCTAAACCGTGAGAAATTATGCGGATAAATATATTACCTATTGACATTAACGTGCGTGCTGGTTTATGAACGCAGAATCGACGGGTGTTGTGCGTCTCAATGTATTCAGCAGGAGATGCAACTTCGCGTTTATTCGAAAAACAGTGTATATAATAACGTTGTATATTATAATGGGTATAGGTAATAAGTAAATATAGTATGGGTGCAGTTACAAATATTATAATAAATAGGATTAAATATCGTATAGATACTTTGGCACGATTTTCGTTTTTGTTTTAATCGATTTTTTTTTTTTTTTTTTTTGTTACAAATTGACAAATTAAAAATCAATTTTTCATTTGGTATCTCTTTCTGGCTTACTCTCTCTCTCTCTCTCTCTCTTTCTCCATGTTAAACACGTCATACACGTCATAACGGCGGTTTTTAACCGTTTTTACGAATATATTTGACATTTTCGGAGAGATTTTCGGCGGAATTCAACCAATATTGGCAATATTGAAGGTTTTACGTTTAAATTACCATCATAATATTATTATGTCAGTTTGCGGACGCGTAAACGCGTGCGTGCAAGGTGTTTAATGTCTTTGGTACGGGATATTACAGCGGCGTAAGCGCTCGCGGTTTTAAAATGGTCTTTTATTATTTTTGTTTAGTATATTTGGTTAAAAAGACTGCAGTATAACAAGCAGTCAGCAGTTTGATGGAATTTTCACGGACACATTTGTAAGTACCGAAATGTTCTTTGGATACATAATAGTTATTAGGTGAAGTCACGGAGCTGGATTATGGGAAAGGCTTAGGGGGGGAGCAATAATCCCGGGCCGCAAGTCGAACAAGGGCTACACAATGTTTTTTGCTGAAGACTTTTTTTTTTTTTGTCTATCGATCTTTTATACGAATATTAGAACATTATACGAATTCTTTGCTGATGACTTTTTTTTTTTTTGGTCTCTAGTCCCGGGCCCCCATAATCCGGCAATGTGAAGTCGATTTCTGCATGATGATGAATTCGACAAATTTCCTGTTCGATAACAATAATAATTATTGTTATTTGATAACGACGGAATATGTATGAATGTTTACTTCACATTGTTATTGTGTACAATTCACCTTTAAAATGGATTTTTTATTGCTTTTTGCGAATTCGCGATTTCATTCGAAATGCCACAATTCAAGTTTATTAAGTGTACTTGAATTTGTTTATAATTTCTTTTTCTTTAAGGGTCGCAACATATTATGCATACTAATGGAAATATCGTACGTACTTTATATTAATCTATGCGTGATGGACAGCGGCGATAATATTATATAAATATTTTCGAAATTAATCGACGGTCGAACATGATATCTCCATCATAGTATACGTATTACACGCGTGTTACAGCGAAATTACGGCCCTTAGAATTATTAAGCCGTATCCGGTACGTGTTGTTAATGATTTCGGATCGGCCAAGTTCGCGAGAGATTTTTCAACGGATATCGGTTTTATGGAATATATATAGTTGCATAATATAATGTTATGCGGGTAGTTCTTCCGGAACGGAATTGGGAATCTACTGTGCCGGGAGAACAGGATTAGATGACAGTTCGTACTGTATATTATTTGTTTCCCCTTGTATAGTATTTTGTATTAATGATTTAAATAGGTATCTACGTGATTTTCGTAAATCGAAATAATAATAATGCCCACTTAAAACTCGACGGAATATTAAACATTAATGTTATTATATAGTGACTATTGACGTTTTTTTCTTTTTTATATATACTGTTTGTGGTCTACGATACTCGTAAGTTTTCTGTTTATTTTTATCATTTGTTATTAGATTAATTGTATTTGTTTACCGTTCGAAACTATGATCATACCATACATTATTACCTGCAGCTACTATATAGACTGCGATAGTTTCTAATTTTCTACGGCCGCGATGAAATTACACTACACACGATAATATGTTTAACGTATAACAGTATTGTTTAGTATCCCTTCGTAGTTTAAGAGCAGTGGCGTACCCCCTAACACCCGCCCCCCCGCCCCCTGTCCCCCCGCCCGCTATTAAATAATTTCAAGCTAAATCATAATATGACGTTATACTTTTATAATAATATAATTATACTGTACTACATGCAGAATTGAAGTCCGATAACTGGACATTGTAATTTTAAGAGAACGCTAACAAAAAAAAAAAAAAAAAACATTACATTTTAAAAAAAGGTACCCCCTCTCCCCCATTAAAAAAAAAAAAAAATTGTTTTTGTAACCCTTAGAAGAAAAAAAATTGGTACGCCACCGCTACGATTAGTTTTTAATATAGGTATAGGTAACTAACAATATTATGATATTAAATAGGTTTTTGGGAATGATTTAAACGTTGGTGCCGAAGGCGAGGTACAGGGCGGTGAAGAAAACGCAGGCGATGATGTTGTAGCTGCGTCTGTTGAATCCGTTGATAGAAGAAGTGGAGCTGAAATCGCGGAGCTCGACTTCTGGAAAAAAAAAATAAATGTTCGCATATTATTATCCTGAGAGATATTGGCAACACTCGAATCAAATCGAAATAATATAATGTTAACATTATTAAACAATAATATACATGGTATGTATAAAAATCACGTAACAAATAGTGTAACAATAGTAAAAATTAAAACAATGTGGTGGCGCATAATAAAGAAAAAAAAAATACAAGAAAATACACACTTGATATCATCGAGCTACAATAGGACGCTTGATGTTTTGGTTTCGTGTATTCTATAATCAACATGCCGGCCAATGTGAAATGCAAACAAACATATTCAAATAAAAATAAAACCATGCGTTATGAGGAAAACAATTGTACGTTAAAAAAAAAAATCGAATTGACGCGAGTATTATTATAGGTATAAAATAAAGTGCAGACTTGGTAAAATACTTTTTTAAAGTGTTCAGAATAAATATTCGGATACGTATAAATAAAATAGTATTCATGATATGTATTCGAATATTCGAATAATATTTTACAACTTAAGTGTATTTTCAAAAGTTCACTTGTTAAGAGTGTAAACGATAATTTTAGATGACTTATGGGCACTATAATAGATTATATTATGCGACGATATGCAATACAATTATGCATTATATTTTAAATTTTAGGAATTTCGAATAATGTTTTAAATCAAGTACCGTCGGGTGAAAAATTACGCGTCATTATTTAAAATATGATGCGTGAATTTGTTCACGCATTTTTATTAACCGAAAAAATGTTTTCCAAGAAAACAAAACATACGAAACGTTTAAAGTTAAACACTCTAAACCGAGGTTGCAAATGAGTGTTACTTTTTAAAGGTAGAAAATACTTTTTAAAACTATTCGGCTTAGAGTATTGAATACTAACGAAAAAAGTATTTTTAAAATATTCGAAATATATATATGTACTACCCTCGTCAGGAATAGTGTTCTACTATCGGAATTTGGTCGTGTGTCGTAAATTATTTAAAATATGTATTTTCTTTTATATTCGCCATACGCCCCTCCCCTCCCCGAGACGTCGGTCAACTTTAAACACGGCGCGTTTACAATTAAACAATTAATAAAAGTCAAGCGATTATTTTTTTTTCTTTCTTTGGAGTATATAAAATATTGTAATTTATAATATAATACGAATACCAACGCAATAATTATTAGCGTTTCATGCTTACACGCTATAATATCATATTTTCTTTGGTTTATTTTTTTTCTGTTTTCTTCTAAAATTACTCAATAAATTAAAAAATAAATAAATTTACAAGCTCGCGTTCAAAAACGCTTATTTAACATGCAATCGTACACAAAAAACATACCTACCACACACATATTATTATTATTATTGTAGAATTACACAATTTGGGTTTTTGTAATATTCTCAAATAGAACTTCATCGTTATAATCTTATATTACGTATTCGTATATGAAATAATAATAATAATAAAAAAAAAATGATCACGTAACCAACTGCGTTATATATTTCTCGATTTTATTTTATTTTTTATAGCGGTATACAAAACACTGTTTCAATTCAGGAAATTACGGCTTACACATGGTTTACGTTGAGATTTATTAAAGTAGAGCGAATGTCGAATAAGATTTCCTGATATCGTTCCGTTATTATTTGTTTAGTGGATATTACATTTCCAGTTTTCAAACGCGGAGTATGTGAGTTTTAGAAGCGTTGTTTTCGAAGCCAAGAAATGTCAGGCAGGTAGTATACAAACATCAGAAACGCCACTTATAGAGGGTAGTTAGTACGGTTATTTAAAAGGTAACCATTTCTATAAGTTGTTAAGTTTTTACTCTGTTTTAATTGCGATTTTTTCTTTTATATTCCAAGCGTATCACGCGGTTCAATACAATCATATTGTTTAATGTTAAGTAGTAATGGTATTGTATATGAAATCATATTAAATTGCGTTAAAATAAAACAAAGCGTTTATGACCTCATGATTAAAAATGATCATACAATAGTATTTGTAAATATACGTACCGATTTCTGGTGTGGCAGATGTGGTGAATGTGAATACATCGGACATTGGAGTCCAGCCGAAACGGTTCTTGGCCATGACTTTAGCTTCGTATTCGGAGGCGGTGTCCAAGCCGCGGATGTTGTAGGACATGCGGTGGGTGTATTGTTCGCTGGGAACGGCTGGGAGGATGACGTCGTTCCATTCGTTCCTCATGCTGTTGTAGCCGTAAATCGGGCCACCGGGGAAGTCTTCGTGTTCCTGAAAATCGCGGTGTCAGGTTTAAATTTCACAGATATTTGGCACCGAAAGAATCGTACAACGAATAATGGAATAAAATCGTTTCGATGTAGATCGGAAGGAATACTATGGAGATAAAGAATGGATAGGAACCGGACACGAAGTGACCAAGTGACCTAATCCGAACATCTTTAGGATTGGTAGGCTGGGCAAATCGAACAACAAAGAGGTTTGTTTACTGGAAAAAAATATGTAAATATACGTTTTGATTAGCTCAAATTACACTCACTTTCTGAGCACCGAGAGGTGGCTTCGGCCATTGGTATTGAGTCTGAGAGTCAGAGGGTGATTCGTCGGGCAATGGAACTTTTCTGTAGTACAACTTAAACTCTTCGATGGGAGTGTAGCTGTCCACCGACCATGATATGTTGTAATTGTTTTGGTGACGTCCGTTTTTGTTGCTGTTTATCTTCACGGGATTCGGTTTTCCTGTACAGCCCCAAACAGACATTAGGTGTTATAACAACAACAGCGTAGAGTAGAATAGAGTAGAAAGTCTCCATTCCGTAAAACGGAGAATTTCGTTAAAATCATAATCAAAACCGTTTAATAACACAGATATATAATATACGATTACTATACGATTGTTGACTGGTGTATACCTAAGAGAAATAAAATCGTGTTAACTTATATAATATACAGGGAATATAATTGTTTCCCGTTGTTTCAACACAGATCCCGGACCGTAAACTTCCTATATTGTAAGTATTTGTGTAATTATGGTATTATTATTATTATTATTATTATGTTTTGTATTATTTACCGGAGAGCTCGACGTAAGCCCTGGTTTTTCCGACGACGTTGTCCGCTACGCAGCTGTAATTTCCGAAATCGCTCGCCTGCACCTTTCTGACTATGAGGGTGTGTCTACTTCCTCGGACTTCCGTAATACGGCGTTCGTTCGTATCAAGTTTCAGAGTATCTCTGTACCAAGACACCTGTGAAGACCAAACGAAACAACATGATATTTATCAAATCGAATAAAAATGAAAAATAAAAACAGGTGCTATTAAAACAACAAAAGTTATACTGTTTACTCGATCGAACGAGTTATTCGTAAGTTCATATCTGACCGTATACTGTCGTATATTTCAGTATACAATTTTCAAAATATCACACTATTTGAGGGAAAAAACACATTTTCATAAACTATAATATTACATATTTTGTATAGACTGTCCTCTAAAAAAACAATGATTACCTCGGCAAGCGGTTCTGCGTTCACTATGCAGACCAGCAATGCTTCGTTTCCTTCGCCGGAATGGACCCAAACGCGTTCAACTCGAATCTCGGGCGGATCTAAAAGAACAAATTATCATTATTGGATTACATTTTTTTATATTTTTGCTTTCAACATAAATATCATAACATATTTATGTATGACACCGTTAAGTGCTGGTTGAACGAACGAAATCGCGATACGATAGAGTCGTATCAAATGTCGATTATACATACAGTATATTTTTTATAGTATTCCAAGATTCCGGCTTGTATTATGTTCACGTACGTTTTGATTTAATTTAATATTAGGTATATCCAATCATTTACTATTTAAAAGATTATTTTTTTAAACTCGATTTCGCTATTGTTTTTCTTGTGGTAGTAATAATAATAATTGTAATTAAAATATATATTATATAGTTTGAGTGTATTATATTTTTGCTGCACGAGCGCTTTTGAAAACGATGAGCTTATAATTAGATTTATTAAACAATAGTTGGGTCGACTTGCGAGTCGGCACTTATCTTTAATTGAGTACCATTTTAGAACCGGCACACTTGGGAATCGAATAATAATAATATAATGTGTGTATCTGTGTGTGTCGAAGATAAGTCTAACCTTATCGCACGTTAGTATACTACAACGTCCCTCGAGATTCTTCTTCATTTTGTGCTTAAGTTCACGACCGAGAAACACTTTTATAAGTATAAAAACCTTTACGACGGAAATTTCCGGTCTCCAAGGGGAGGGGTTTAGAAGCTACAGCCCCCCCGACTCAAAAAAAAACTTAACTGCATTTCCTGGATTTAGCTTTATAACATTTGTTTCATTATGACGTATATGTGTGTGTGTGTGTGTGTGTGTGTGCGATTCGATATTCATACGTTTATTGTAACCGCGTGTGAAAATGTTATATCATCGGATTATAGAATTACTGTTAGCGTTATTACAACAGGAACTATTGTGAACGTGAAAGAACGATAAATATTTTTTGGTGTCAATATAAGCTATACGGGCAGTATTCGTCCCCACCCCTATGCCCCCGATATATAATTATGGCATTTCTAATTAAATTCGTTCATCAGTTCTAATAAAATGTAAAACGTACATATTATATTAATTATCAAAAAGCAATGCCAACCCGCCTGAAACTCAATCCAAATTTATCGATCATTTCTGTTGTTCGTTGTTCAAAGAATTTTTAATCCGTTTGTCGATGAACATTAGTAATCAATCCCAAAACGCTTAATCTTTCAGCGTGTTCTGTCCTTGCGTGGCCGTACAATATTTACATCGGTGTACACCACAGAGCGACGGTGTGTTTCGAAATTCGGATTTACTATTCTGGCAGTTATGGTGGAAATGGAAATTTTAACAAAAATAGAATGTATTTATTTGCGTGACTGTTTATTCGGAAAGTCGGAATTATTTACAAATACATTCTCTCGCGGCGCTCCGGGGCGTTCGCGTGTAGATGCGGTTCGATACAAATCGCCAGAGGCCCGCGTAACATCTCCGTCAATTGGTATAACGCCACTGAATCCGCCAGTCCGCTTTTAGCACAATTGTTACAATATAATTATTATAGTTTCCGTGCGCATCTCGTACGCCGATCGAAAAGTAAAACGACAACGAGAAAATCAACGGGCCGGTAATGACGGTTTATGAGATCGCTCGGCAGATAATTTTATCTCGCGTTCCTTTTTATCGTTGTTGTTATTCGTATTGATAGCGAATTGGCTACAGTACACAATATATTGGCTCGACCCTATCGAAAGAATCCGAAACACACTAACATACCGACGTGAAATCGTTTGACCGCACGCACAACCCTTATCTCACGTACTTAGACAGCAGTAATTTAATATCCGCGAATCCCGTTCGATTTAAAATGAATCGTGATATATTTGATTAGGTACCCGAACCGCAAATAAACGGACATTTAAATATTCAACGCGACACATCGACGTAAGTTATTCCTTTTGTATCGGTGCGGGATTTTTTTTTTTTTTTTTTTTGTTTTAATTTTTTTTTCCTTCAATGTCAGTTAACCACAGGGTACTCGGTCCTCTCACTGTATCCTCTCAACCCCTTCCGCCTACCCGTGACGAAAGCTCGGTGCAACGCGATTCGCTGATCCGTATACCCGCAGCATGGCGGTCACTGTTCCGTTATCGAAATTTCGACATTATGGTATTCGGTTATTTTGAGTTTTATTTTATTGGGAAAAACTCTGAAACTCGGGTCAAAAAGGGTGACAATGGCTCTTTTTGGTGAAAATTAGTTGTATGGCCAATCATATAAAACTGTATACGCGTTTTATAGTGGTAAAAGGACGTCCTCTCAATAATCATTATTGTGAGATTTGAAAATATCAATGTTGTTAGAAAAATTACTATTGTAATATCAAAAAGGCCCAATAATATGTTTTGTTCTTAATTTCCAAAAATTAGATTAAAAGTGAGATTGGACCTTTTCGACCCAAGCTCCAGGACTCGTTGTCATATGCATAGTGTTTACGATTCATGGTCAAGTTATTATTTAATAATTCAGTTCGTTTCATCTTCGAGATGTTTCGTAAACAAAATCACCGACTATAATATAGTTATAATATAGCCGTAATAGCCATAATATAGTGTTCATTGCAATCCGTATAACCTTCGGTGTCATTAATTCTATCTCGTTTAACAGTGTCGTCGATCGTGCATTTTACAGTGGGTATTGAAACTTTCGTTTTAAAAAGACGGATAATTTTTGCAAAACTATATTGTTCCGACCGTATTAAACAATCCAGAACGCACGTATAATATTACCATACCTAGCGGGAATACGACGACGGTCGGCACCAAGTTAAAACGAATTAATGAAATAACCGTGTCTTAAACATATTCTAGAGTTTCGGAGAATTTAAACTTTTTTGTACGCGCGAATAAACGTAGATACATAACTTTTTATCGATGTCCCACACTCCGATATTTGAAATCGAAAACCGTGCAGAGTTTATGTATCGAAATTATTAACCGCTATATCGGTTGAAAACCCGTGGTTGTTTTTATTTTTTTTCACTTCATATTCCAGAAACATTAATTTTATAACAATAAAAAACAAAACCGAATAGACAACACAAACGTAATTATAATGTACTTATTGTATTTTATCGTTTCGTATTAGATTATTTTTTATTTTTTTTTTTTATCACAATAATATCGACATTTGTAGCTGTTACTTGAGTCCGAGCGAAAACTGTAGTTATATATTATAAACTACCCACACGTCTCATAGGTTATGTAAATCGTTAATTATAGTTTGCAAATCTGTTTTTTTTTTCATCTTCAAAGTATCGAAATATGCGGTTGCCGCCGTACATACCGCTGTGCGGCGGCGATCCGTTAGATTCGGTATGGTACACCTACCTATGCTTAAACGAAATTATATGCGAAAATACGATAAGTGTCAACGCAATCGTAAACGCGCGCAAAACCTTTGAAACGCGTACATTTATAATGTTTTTTTATGCGCGTGACCTTAAAATAGTATTGTGCGCCGCACACAAGTACGGTCGAATTTTCGGAATAATAGCAATAAAAAACATATAATATGACGTATGTATACTTACACAAAATGTTAACCGTAATGGTCTGTTCGGCGGGTTGTCCGACGCTGTTATAAGCGGTGCAAATGTACACGCCGGCATCGTGACGAGTGGCCGATTGTATTATGTACGTGTCGCCGGTCATGTTCCGTTCGCCGTTCGGTAGTACGTTATTCTATAACGGGCCGAAAAAAAAAAAAAAAATTAAAAAAAATTAAAAAGTTAATTAATATCGAAATATTTGAGTGTGTTCAGATGAGTGACGTGGTAGAGGGGCAGCTAAGGGGACTATAGGCCTCCTCTCCCCCCGTGGTGATTCATGCTGTTTCACGGTTCGGGCGTTTCCGCGGTTATTTTTTCCGCACCCGGAAGAACGTTTTCTGCACCGAACCGCGTGAAAACGTATTTAAAAAGGGACACTACGTGTCGGAAAATTAACTACGGGTTAACCGTACGTCTGTACGCATTAATGGAAATGATATTATAATTGCTGTCTTTGCTCAAATTCTCCAAAAGGGAATGAATATATTATAAGTCGAACGGTAAATGACAAATTACTAACCGGTTATTTTGATATTGACAATTCGTCGGTCAATTTTTTAATTTAGTTTTTATTAATTTCAACACAATATTGTTGTCGATGTATGCGTGCAAATTAAATTTATCGCATTGCACGTACCCTATTAGCGTTACCTATACGCTTTTATATCGACGCCCTTTTTGTTAAAAGGGTGTCTATCAAATTTCACTTTTTATTTTTCAGGAAGCAAAAAAAAAAAAAAAAAACTGTTTTGCAAAGAAAAAGCAAAACAGTTTTTAAACGATGTTTATCATGAAAAACAATAAAATTACTCGTACACATAAAATACCATTTACACAAAGTATACATGCATTGAATATGGTATACGCCCTTTTAACAAATCAGTGTTGATTTTAATTATATTTTTAAAAGGCGCTTGGATATCTTTTAGTCGACATTGCCAACTTAATTTTCTGTATACGCTCTTTTACCAGTTTAATTTTTCTGATTTTTATTTTATACAAAAAACTTATTTTTCGATTTTTAGTGGTATACGCGGTTTTTTTTTTTAAAAACAAACACTATCGATATTATATTTTTAAATAACCCGTAAAAAAAACGTATTCATTATAAATATAGTACATTATTAATGATTGTTAATTTTTCTAAACACCATTAGAAATATTTAAAAATGCGTATAAAACAATTTGATTCCGTTCTAGCTGCTATATAACCATGATATTAGACAAATATTGTTAGTATAAAAAACACACAAAAACCAATATTACTTTTCTTGTCCATGTGATATTGGGTACGGGATTCCCGTCGGCTTCGCAGTTCAATTTGATCAACGAGTCTTTTTTAGTGTCGATAGTACCTCCGGACGACACTGACTTGATTCTTGACGGTACTGAAAAAAAAAATAACAATAATCAGTTAGTATTAATTTCAGTATTTTACCGTAATATTGTTCGTTATGTTATAAACATGCTACTGCTAAGGCGGGCGAGAGGTTACCGGGTGTCAACTACCCACCCGCATGAGTTTTTAGATACCTTTTCAAAAAAAAAAAAAAAAAAAAAATAAAAGGTAGAATACATAACACGTTATTTAATATTTATTACTGTCAACCTATCGGTATAGCATTGTTTGTTTTTTATTTTTTTGAAAAAAAAAAGTATAGCCATTTTGTAATAAAAATGCAAAGGTTCATAGCCATGCAGCGCGACGCGGTCGGAATTGTCGCGATGGTCGACGTGGATTAACGAGACACAACGAACCGAGAATCTCGTATTTTGAACCTTTGAGAATTTCGGGCCCCAAGGCGACGGATATTTTACTATCCCGGCCGTCCGTAGATAACGTCATACTGGCTTTTGTGCAGCTCCCCGTCATACTCTACCGGATTTTATTCCGATCAGTATATATTCGTTTCAAACTCGTAGGAATTTTAGCAAATAATAATACGTACATCTATCGTGTGCTTTTCGTTACAACATAAAGTGAAAATAAAATTGAATTTGTCTACATTAAAATCTACTTAAGATTGAATTAAAACTCTAAAAATGCTTTATTTCGATAGATACGGTTTATAGTGTTTTTGATTTTTGATTTTTTTTTTTTTTTACAAAGAAACCGAAGAGATTATATTTGAAATAATCGCATTTTTTTCCCACCATCTAAAAATTGATTGCATTGGTCATCCCATTTCGGTAATTCTGTTCGTCCCATTTCCACTTCAATGATTGCACTCATGCGACAAATGATGCTAATTATTCTCGAATAATTGACCACCAGATATTAAAATAATATGTAGTTCCGTATACATCATGGACTAGGTATACTTAATATCGTTAAGCTATAATGATAATTTAAAACCCGAAAAAAAAAACGAATTAAGAATTAAACACACAAACTGATTCTTTTTATTGATTTTCTCAGAAGTTTTTAAGTATAGTAAATATTTGATTTTCGTTTTTTTTTTTCAATTATTGATATTGGATTGTTTATTTATTTTAACATTTTTTTCACATTTTTATGCCACTACTCCACAAATCTTAAATCGAGCGAGTTAATTATACGTGGCATGGCAGGAAGACGTTAGAAGACAGGTGGAATACTGAATAGGGAAGGGCAATATATTTATCATGACAATGATGGTATAATGGATAAAACAATCACTCTGTATATTTCTATATGTAATGTGTGGAGACGAAAATGGATAAACCGAAGTGTTAAAAGCTACATGTATACATAAATATATATCTATTGTCACAAAAATATATTAGATATTACTACGTTATATAGTGTGGTCCATCTACGGATAGAGGGCGCAGAATCTACCGTTGCATAATATTATTATCTCAAAACGCGCGGTGTACCACCACCAGCTATATGTATAAATAATAACAGGTAATTTTAGTTTAGTGATTTAACATTTACTATATAAACTCGACTAGTTACCTACTTTATGCGTGTTTAAGTAAAGGTAATTTCGGAACGAACAGTTTTGTCGGTTTGTGTTTTGGACCGTTATAATATGAAAAGGGATTACGGGCCGGAGAACGGAAATTAGACGCGTTGGATGTTGCTGGAACAACATTAATAATGTCTATGTATAAATAATGAAAACTGGCCGTCTTGGTGATGGCGGTGAAGATAATGATGATTATGATGATGATGACGATAATAATAAATGACTATCGAAATTAACGGGTGTAGGTACCTGAAATACCCGTGTTTATACCTATACAGACGATATAGTGGATATTATAATAGTAAAGATTATTGCAATTTAGATTACACAGGTAAAATATCTAGGCACGTTTGAGGATTTTTTTCTTTTTATTCGCATGACTCCCCCACAACAACAAAAACAATATCATCGCATGCGATTTAAATTTATATACGAGTAACTATTTTTTCTTTTAAGTGTAAACGGACGGACGAAAGAAACGGAATTCCACGATAACGATTAATGGCCGGCCGCAAGGGTTTATTACTTACTGTCGCCGCGGTGGCATATAATAAATACGGTAAGTTTAAGGCGGTAGAGATAGTTTACGTAATAATGATTCGCGAGTAGATGAAAAACACTTGTAGAATATTTGATCCCGGCTGAGTTCACGCCCGTTAACTTAATACACTCGAAAGGCGCGGGTGTTTCTAAGTTTATTAGATAACTGCAGTTATACCTATTCGCGTTGTTCGTTGTTTGCGATACGGGAAGGTGCAGTGCAAATTATACAGGCGTGATGTATTATCATTTTAGGCGTGTACGAAAGGAATATGAGGGGTTTTGCGAATTTGCGGGTGGCCTGGAGAATCTATCGATTTACGAGCAAAAATAAAGGTCGATTTAACCCCTCTGTTTTGGCCGATGACCCCAGTAGTCGAGGCCAATTGTTGTTTATGATGAAAAACGAAGACGCGTTTTTTTTTTAAGGGCGGCTAAATTTAAATCGCGCCGTCGAAACTACGTAATTATTATAATGATTATCTAATTTTAACGCACTTACCCCTCCCCACCCCCTCCCGTTCCTGTTTTCCAACTATATCGGCAGAGCGATAAACGCGCTCGTGTGTAGACGAGTAGACGATTGCCGGCGTTCACAATGATATTATATAGTAGACGATATAGCACCCAAAGAGCACTTGATCCCACTCGACACGAATGTCTAAACGGACTTGACCATTTCATATTATAGGTATTATTATTATATATATATATATATAAAAAAAAAAAAAACCTTTGTTCTCTGTACAGAAGATTACTGTTTGAATGATAATTGTCCAGACATTAATATATAAAAACCGTGTAGGACGCAGTAAAATAATGTGAGTACACGTCATATTAAAGTGTTTATTTGTACGGAGAGTTTTTTTTTTTTTTTTTTTTTGTATATACATTTTACTAACATCACGTATAGTAAGGTATATTATCGTACATTAAAAAATACTGTCCGTGTAAAGTTTTGTTGGATTATGATATCATGTTATCGTTTGTTATCATAATGTTATACAATTATTTGTATGTTTGTTTTTTTTTTACCGTTCAGCAAATTTTACGTTGAAATTCTTGTCGTAATTTTTGATTCAACTATTTATATCATGACGTACACTGTTCGCCGCAGCTAATCGATTCGGCCATTTTGAAAACGAAACCATTGTCATCCGGTCTTATCCGGTGACGTGTCTCCGGCATATTAGCCGGCCGGACCAGGAAACGGAACGATATTACACAGGAGACATAAATTCCAACGAGTCTGCATTGGATCGAGTTCTTCTTCTCGGTTATTGTCCCGCAGGCTACACTTACACTCGTTCTAGCTCTCCACGCAATTTCCTTCGTCCACGTCATCCCGTCTTCTTGACTAAACGTTGTTTCTTCTTACAACCACTTATCGAATGAAAAGCCCGATTTCGGTTCGATAAATATTAGAAACAGTTCCATAACTTCGTTGTGCCGGTAACACGATCAATTTTTCAGTATTTCACCATTTTTTTTCCCTGTTATACTAATTTCGTTGGGCTTTAATTTTTTTCATTACAAATTTTTATCCAGTTTCATAACACGAAAATAAACTTACTTGAATAATCGAGGGCAGGACGAAACTAAAAATGTTTGTAATCGTTATTTGTCGTGTTATTTGTCCAATAGTTTATCGATACCATATCATAGGCTATCGAACTGTTTTTATAGATCGTTTATGTGACCCGACATTATGGAATTGCGTACGCCTCTCATATTATATTCCTGACATACATCCATCTTGACATTCACATTTCTGCTCCGTACGTTTATATTTTTATTCAACGGCCGGCCGCTCACAACAGTTTTATACCATTTCCCCTTTTACCCTTAATGGCGTAAAACCTCTTTTATCATACAACAATAACACCCGCGCTGTCGCTTCCCTCTGGCATTTCGTCCGGTCACACGCACACGCATAATAATTGTTATCCTACTAAAAAGCTACATCCTTAACAGCTCTCGTAATTCTCTTTGACGATTCAGCATATTGTTACCGCGACAATTGCACGACCGAAAGTCAAAACCCTTTCGGTGCTCCAAAACGTTATATTACATTTTGGTTATGTGTTTCGTTTTGTTTTGTTTTTTTTTGTTGAAATTAGTTCGCGAACTCTCGGACCAAAGTCAAGATTAAACTTTGAATTCTGCTGAGCGCTGCGTGGGATGCGGGTATTGGTTTTAAAATGATGTGTGTTTTAAACACCGACCGCAAAGTTATTGGTTTTACAATAACGCATGAGCGTGTTTTTCCGCATTTCTTTGCTTTTCCCAGTAAAACATAATGTTTTAAATTTTGTGAAAAAAAAAATCCATATTTTTTGCGGTAGAAAATCGAATCAGTTGCAGAAGTTTACACGTCGAGCTGATTATACGGGTCGTAGTTTACTCGTTATACTCGTTTATACTTTCGTCAAATAGGTTTTTGTGTTGTTTGGATGCGATTCTAGAAATAATACACACTCGCTCGTTTTGAAATGGTTATTTTATACATCGGCTTAACCCGCCGTCCTAAGCCCATCGGCGGTAAGTGTCGAATCGTACCAGTTTTGAGAAAAAAAAAAAAGGACTTTTCCCCGCGTCGCCTTGTTATTTTTATAACGTTTATTAAAATAAATTGATAAATAATTAACGATTATTAAACACATAGTTTAGTAGAACCACTATATAGTAACTGATAAAACTCGCGGATAAACTTTGATACCGGCTATTATCAAAACGCAAAATCCTTTTAAATATTAAACAAAAATACCTAGTCGAAATAACATTTATTTTTTTATTTTTTCATTATACTATTTTTGTTACTGTTTTTTTTCGTCAAGTATCATTCGTATGTATTTTAAAAAATACGTAAGTATACGTGTTTAGCCGTATCACGCGTATAATGAAATTTATTGTCAAAAAAAAAAATACGCCTTCTATGTTTGTATGCACACGCGAAAAGTTATTTTTCACATTTTGCCACTCAAGAGCAATTATAATAATATGTATTGCGGGTGCTAGAATAAAGATGCAGAATAAACGCAAGAATAAATGTGCTAAAATATGCTTCAGGGTTACTAGAATACAGGTATATAATATTGTGTGATTTTTAGATTCTGAGCGGAGCGAGGAATACATTGGTTTTACAATGACGTTTATTTTATTTTATTTTTTTTGCAATTTTGCTCCGATTTCCAATTATAGCACTTTTTCTGAAAGGAAATTGGACTGTAGAAGTACTTTAAGGAAGTCAGTCATTTTTTTGATTTTCTCAGGAGTTTTTCCAATAAACGGGAAAAACCGAGAACAACATAGAGAAAAAATATGAAAATAAGTACGATATTAAACAAATATTAATAAAAAAAAAAAAAAATAAAAAAAATGTATAATGCATATATGTAATTATTATTTTACCATAATTTGACGAAGCAACACTATCAACCGAACTCCGCTCAGAATCGTTTTTTTTTTTTTTCGTTAGCAACAGTTACATATGTTGCTTACAGATGTACATTAAATTACTTATAACAGCGGATGTACCCGTGCCCATTATCCCGGGACAGCTTTTTGAAATGTACAATGTTATTTTCGTCGAGTATCGCGACCTGTTTTTTTTTTTTTTTTTTTATGTTATCGCCGTATATATTTTAAATAAATAAAATTGTTCGGCGCATACATAATATAGGTGTCCTACCTAACCGTATATATATATGTGTGTACACACTCGCGCGCGCGTATATTATGATAAATCGCGGGGGAGAAACGGCGCACGATAACAATATAATAACATTATCCTTTCTTGTGCGCGCCGCCGACGGGAGAAACTTAACGGGTGCCCGACCTCCATGCGTGCGAGGTGTATTATTATATTGTACGAGCACGGCTACACGTATAATGTTATGCGGATATCGCCACGTGCGCGCGTCTTGTTCTCTCGATAAAACTTTTTTGGCTCGGACCACGATAATGCTACGCGATCGTATACAGTCCCGAAGTTTATTATACGATATCGCGGCGACAATAAAACTCGGCGCGAGGCGAACCGAACCCCCGTCGTCGTAGGACAAACGCAAACGCAAACGTAAACGCAAAAAAAAACGATAATAACGCCGATAGCGGAGACGACGATAATCGCATGTTCCGCGCGCGCAATCGATAATGACGATGTCGGAACGGGTGCCGTTCGCGTGGCGGCGGACCCCGAACGCGTTTACTGGCCAGACGCGAGCTCCGCCGTGGTCGGGCGTTGCACGCGCGGCGATAAACGGCCACGGACGGACTCCGCGCCGGATCTGTTCCGGACGAGTGTTTACCGTGCACCGTGTCGTACGGACGGGGGCGCCGCAGCGCGCGGCCGTTACGCGTACACCGCGGATCAGCGGCGCCGAGGCCGGCACCCGGCGGCCGGGCCTTCTATCGATGGACGGGTGAACGGGCGGCGGCGCGGGATCCGCGACGGGCGCCCGGGCCGTAATTTTCCGCGGGCCCGGTACGCGGCGGCACGATTAACGGCGTTGAATTGGCGCGTTGTTTCGCGAACGAGGGCGGCGGCCCGCGCGTAACTTTCACCCGAACGCCGCGCCCGTGCACGGAGCGCGGCCGGGCGCCGCCGTACCGGACGGCCGGCAGATTTCCCGGGCCGGCCGAGCGAAATCGAGCGCGGAGTAGAGCGGACGGCGGCGCGCGCGAACGGGACCCCGCAGTCGGGGCCGCGTGAAGTTTCGGCGACCCCGGACGTTTTCCGGAAACGGTACGCCACGCGGGCCGTGGAAATGCTGGGCCGAATCGCCGAGCCGTGCAATTGTCGAACGTCTGCGCGCGAGCAGGCGTAGGGGAGGGGGCCGCTATTTTTTTTTTTTTACGATTTTTCCTGCGAGATTCCGCGGGCTCAACAAATGACAATTGTGCAAACGCCAGTGTTACATAACGTCGTCCGTCTCGCGGGCCGTGCGCGCTTGAAAATACGCCCAGACCGTTTCCGCCCTCCCCTCCCCCCCACCCCGTTTAAACGTTCGCCGCGAGAACGGACGATCGCGCCGCGTAATATTTTATTATAAATATTATACGAGCAGTTTGATTCGGACGCGGCGGCGGCGCTGTGTACGCACATAAAATTATTACGACATAATGCACGTCTTCTCGTGCACGCGTAGAACACCTCAGACTTCGTGATATTATTCCCGTCGTAAAAGAACAAAAAACAAAAATACGAAAAAAAAATAAAAATATCGCGTAACGGCGGCGTCGCGTACGCATTAAAAATATAACGATCGGTCTGACGAACGTTATATACGCGTGGTATACTGTTATTGTATTACATACGCGATATACGTGTACAGTTATTTTCGTTTCGTATCATGCGCGCGTATTTAAATATTAAATATAGGCGCTGCCTGCCGCGCACATACGGGTCATAGTGAAGAGCGCGACAAAGAAAAAAAAAAAAAAAACAAAAAAACAAACTAAAATGTCTGTGTAAATTTCAGTAAAACCGTTTAAATAATATAGCGCCGTTAATGAAAACCGTAAACAATAAAAATGACGTGCGCGCGATACACGCGTTGGTTTTCATATAAATAACCGGTGAGCAGCGTATTAATAAAACGTCACAATACTCCCGTGTATGCACGGCGGCGAGTGATCCGGGAGATCCAGACGAACGGCATGTTTCGTTGCGCGTCTTACGACGGCGTCGAAACGGAACGATTGTATAATATTGACCGTCATTGATTTGTTGTACTCCGTTTTTCCCCCGATATCTTATTCTACCGGTGATTTTACACGGTTTGTTTATTATTGTTTTTTTGTTGAAAAATTTACATTTTAGACACCCGCTGCGTTTCGAAGCTAACGCCTTACTCGTGTTTTCCGTTGTCGGCGAAAAAATAATCCCCGAGAGAACACAGACCGTATAATATTAATTAAACACCACCGACAAATAACCGAAAATACCAAGCCCTTTTCCCGTTGAACACGATCGGCCATGATATTATATTCTCGTGAAAAAAATTGTTCCTTACATTTTAGTAAGTTGCAGCGAAAGTAGGGTTATTACAGTGTAACGAACGCAAAACGGCATATAATAAATATGATTGTTAAAAGAACGGAGTCAAAGAGAGTTCGGGTTGTTCAGCAACATGGACCAGTTGCGAATTCGCGGGGGGAGATTATAGGGAGATAAATCTCCACCCTTGACATTTGTTTTACTACGTAGCCATTATTTATACGTGAACCTATTTTTTAAATTCGAGTTTCTTACTTTTTAGACAAAACAATCAAAAACACGTTGGTACCGTGCAAATAAATAATTAAAAAAGAAACTTTAACAACAGCAGGTACGTTTCCTTGTTATAAAAAATGAAACCTACCCGAACCACTTTGATATAAACGAAATACATCTTATTGTTATTCTTCGAACAGGTAGTATAAATAAACTATATAATTGACGATAATAATCACTGTAACGTTTCATTGATGATTAATCGAATTGTAAATTGCTTACGGAAAATGTATAGATTTGAAATCGGATCCTATTTGTTGGTTCAAGTCTATAGGTTACATACTATTACGCATATACAATATTTCAAAATTCAATATTCCCCCCCGCCCCCTCGGAAAAATCCTAAATACGCCACTGAATTAAGGACCGTCTCCAACAGGGTTTCACCGGATGGCGGTGCCCGCCGGCATATGCCCAGTATACCGCGTTGTTTTTTTTATCTATGACGACAGCACGCGTCTTATATTACTATATTATTGTTGTTTAACGGGGTTTGTCACGGTCAGGGTGTCAGGGCGGTCATTCGTTAATAATATAATACACTTAGGGCCGCCGGTCCTCGTAACGTTATACACACACTGTATAGACGTCCGTAAATAAGTCAAGCGGTGTAACCACGTCCCGTGCCCGTCGTTTCGGATTATTTAAGCACCGCTGTGATACGATATTATTATTAAATATATTGCGGACAGTATTGGGATAATAAATTATTAAGGTGAGCGCTAGTAACGACTATGGGTGGCGGTTATCCCACCGATCCGGGGCAGGATAAACATTACTGCTGCTGGTGATACCACACGTAAAAACGTTAAAATTACGAGTTGAAGTTCATGCTTTGTTTGTTTTTCTGTAATAAGTTACTAAGTAAATAACAATATGTCATTCACTATTAGAGAAATATTTACGTTTGCTAAATGTGCTCATGAAATGTTGTCGAAAGAGAGCAAGTTTTGAAACGCAAACAAATACGAGTATTGTGTGGGAAAATACTAAAACAGTTTAATTAAGAAATGGCAAAGAAAAATGTTTATATATTTTTTCATTGTGTTATTAATAAATCAACTTGTGTTTCTTATCTAAAAATAATGTTGACGTTACTTTTCTTAGGACTCGGTTTTTTTTTTGGAGATTTATGAAAACTTAATACTGGTAATCTAAGTTTTTGAACTGCAGTCATTTTTAAACGAGCTTTTTTTACTTATTGTTGATTAAGTTCATTTTAAAAAAAGTTAATTAAATAGATACATCGTATGTGCATAAGGTAAGTGCAGTGGTGGCGTGGCGTGATGAAGTCAGTGGTGTACACAATTGAGTATACTGAATTACAGCCAAAAACTGAACAATTTACATTGGCTTTTTGACAATTTAGAGAAACCGCTTTACCCTCGCTACCTACACACTAAAATATACACTAATTGTTTTCCATCAATTCTAACATCAAATGTAACATAACTAAACTTTATATTATACAAGTAAGCATTTAGGTATACAAATGCATTAAATGTTACATAAAACAATACGATCAACCTACTACAAGTAGTTGAGATTTTGTCCATCAGGGAGCGTATGCTTATTTTGTTTTTCCAATTGTCGGACACGACTGCAAGTAACGGTCGTGATAGAGATAACGCGCCAATATTATATTATTGTCGTGTATACGTCCTTATTGTTTTCAGTCTCGGCGTTGATTTTTTTTTTTCCATTATTTTTCATCGAAATTCGGACAAAATAATAGTTTTACGTGCGCCGTAGGGTGATTTCCAAACGGGGAACAAAATGGATAATTAGATTCCAAAATCTATTTATGACATATGGATATTGGTCGGTATTTCTCGAAAAGGAATGGGGAAAAAATAGTACTATATGTCAGTGGCGTGCGGCGATATTTTTTATTGGGTAAGCGCTAAAATAAAACTTAAAACTAAATCTTAAAAATGGTATTTTATTGATAAAAATTACAATTTAAAATTTATTTATAGATAAAATTCATTCGTCTTTATTGTTTTACAAATTCGTTTATTGCTTTATCATCAAATTCTTGATATTGTTTTACTTTGTGTAAAAGTTCTTTTTCGACTGAAATCAATGGTAAAGAACTAAATTTTTCTTGTCCTTGAGTTGATCTTTGACACGATTTGATTCGTTTCAACGCCGTAAAAGATCGTTCAACTGAACGTTTACTTTTGAACATATACTATATGTAATTATGTAAACATTAGCTTAATGATAAGCAAATGTATATGGTTATTATCATCGACATAAATAATAATATAATAACATTTATTTTGATGGATTCAAAGCGTACATAAATTATTATTATTATTATTTTTTTTTTTTTTGGATACTTTATTATTTTCCAGAGGTTCGTAACGTTTTTACGCGTTGAAAATGTACGGGGGAATTTCGGTGTTATAGAGAAATTTCGTTTTTTTTTGCGAGATTCCGAGTGTACCGAACAAGTCATCATTTATAGTTTTGCCACAATACACGATGTGCGTATAGTGATGCGTATTTTTTCGTTTGTCGATAAAACACTTTTCCGGTTAGGGAAAATCTTACGGCTACACGATTACAGCGGCCTTGTGGCGCGAAACGGACAAATTTCGTCGTGATAAAAGTATTTGAAAATACCGTTATGGTGTCCGTTCTCCTCCAGCACTGGTGCAAAGTGTTTCCGGCTTTTTTGAAGTTCCAAATGTAAAAACGTGCTGCTGTATATATTATTAGGGAGCACTGTAGTTTCGACGTTAAAACAAAAAAAATAACACCAATAAACACGTTTTTGGGTTAGGTAGTTACTATTTACGACGTTTTTTTTTACATATAATGAAAAGGAAATGGTATCTGGGTAATTATTACTACTTTAGTTGTTCAATTAAAAATAAGTCTTTATAAATTGTTCTTTAATCGAAACGTCTGGTATTTTTTTTTTTTTTTAAAAAAAGGTTACTTTAGTACCGTTCGAAAATAGTTATTTTTTTTTCTATTACCTACTATTATACGACACGGACGTGTTTTTGAAGTTAAAATGTTTAGGTAAAATATAAGTACTTGTATTTATAACGTATATTGACTCAAAATAATTAAGATGACAAAAACTCAGGGCCGTTCTTAAGAGGTTGCGCTTTTTACTTAGATTTGAAGACTCATATGATAAAATATGGAAATATTTAACATTTCGCCTTAGGCTTCGTAAATCTTAATCATGAGCCTTTAAAAACTATTCTTCAAAAACATAAATTTCGGGTACCGAGTGGTTCTTCTTCACAAAAGATATTTTCCTATGTTTTAGTAAATATCTGCAATGTTATCTACTATAGTATTTATGAAAAATAAATTTAAGTTATTAAAATGTAAATATTTGCACCGAAAATAACAAATCAAAAATTAAATTAAAAAAAAAAAAAGGTCCGAATGAGATGGTGCAGGAATTTTTCTTTAAAAGTAATTATTAAAAAAAATCAAAAGTAACGCAAAATATTTTAAGTAGAGTTTTGCAGAAACAAATTACGTTTTTATTGTGTATGCATAATATGTTCTTATTTTTAAATATTACATTTTCAATTCGTTTTAAAATATTATTTATTTATGCTTATTAAATGGTTGAAATATATATATATATAATATATAAATATTTGGTGAATACGATATTAAAAAACCTAATATTTAAAAAATATTATTATGATCATTAAAAAAAAAAACACTAGTGAACAACAAAGTTCAAAATCACTAAAGTCCAATTACCTCCCCCATCAAACTTGACTTGTCGTTATTGCAATAAATTGGTTTTTTATTTCATTTCCGAAAATCTTTATTAAAAACGCTTGAAATGTAAGCGATCAAATTTGAAGGGATGGAAATGGCCTTCCTTCCCATCCCTTCTAACCCTCCTCCCTCCGGTTACAACTCCCAATAAGTTAAATCATTGATCCCATAAATATAAATATAAATTCATGTACACAGTTGTACCTTTCAAGCTTAATTTGTTGTGTTTTTAGTAAGGTAAAAAATATCACCCAATCAAATCAACACAAACACGTTTAAATTATAATTGAAAAACCCATTTTGATCACTTTAATCCACCTATGAATGAGTTCTAATTCCAAATTTGAACTTATTTATTTAATCTAAAACGAGAACTACTATTATAAATGTCCAAAAGTAACGGTAAATATATATACGAGCTATGATCTAAAAGTACCCGATCGGTTTGAATGCCGTACCAGCGGATGGTCAAAGAATAGTATAGGTTTGATATCACTGGTTACTGTGCCTTCAACTGAGCATACCTGTTTTGTAAATTCTCTATAACCTAACCTTCTTAGTATTGATGCAATCGATGTTATTGTAAAATATGTTTTTAGCGTGCAATTTCGTAAAGAGATTATTATTTTATTTTTTTTTTTTTGGGGGGCGGGGGAGGATTTTTTGTAATAACAGAATCTTGGTTGGTAGAGAGATACAATATTTGACATCACTCGTGTCAACAAATTATAACTGACAATCATTAGACGCACCAAATGGTAGCGAAGTTTGTCATGAGAATGTTGAGGAAATATCGAGGACCAAACACAAATCTAACTTCAGGTTTGCCAGGAACTTTTTCGTATAATAAATGACGATAAAAAAATGTTAAAACGTTATATTAATAATCATTAACCGTTTCATTACGTATTACGTAATCATCGAAATGGGAGAAAAACTTTTCTCCAACCTCCCCAAAAATCTCGTCAATTAAATTGTCAACACGCGAAAACATGTTTTTTACAAAAATATCGGTTACATATCAAAACTGATAGTAGGTTATAGAATATCTACAATAACAGATGTACCCAGGATAACTTACAGAAGCCAGGGCTATAAATCTTACTGCTATTTCACGTTCCGTTAATGCACAATTCAAACAGTACTGGTACTACTACACCTCGTATAAATATATATTATATTACACACCTATAATAAATCAGACACTACACAGTAAAAAAAGTTTCTATTTTCGGAACAAATTCGACAAATAGCGAACGCGAAATAACAAGATAATTATTTACGTGCGTAAAACACAAAGAGGGGAAAAAATGCAAGGAAATAAAATTCGAAGTGATAGTGGGGGTCTATCGGAAGACCCGTCGCGGACAAGTCATTGAAATCCAATGACCACGAACGAGATTGAAGTGAAACTTATTACGCGCTTAATGATATTTTGATACATCATTTATAATAATATTATACGGGCTGTGTCCATAATAATCCCGTCCAATGTCATTTATCATAATATAACATAATAAAACAAAACATAAAACGAATATAATACAGTAAATAATGCATTAGCTAAACTGTAGAAATGCTGTAAAAGGTGTATAAAAATGCCGTAAAAGTATTGCAGTTCGTATTTTCATTCGACCGTTAAATAAAATTAATAAAAAAATAATAATGACGGATTTGACGATTTTGGTTTTTTGTTTTTACCAAACTATAATCGTTATTGATTAACATTTTGTAATAAAAAAGGCCAAGTCGTAAAATCAATATATTTGTCGATACATATAACTACCTACCTCCCGGAGCCGTGCTACAAGTATAATATTTTTAAAATTTAAAATTTGTTTGTTGTCGTATATTGAGAATATCTATAACGAAACGGCTAGACAATAGGGTTTTTTTTTCTTTTAAGAATTTACATGTTTTTTTTGAAATAAATCTTCTAATATTGTGTATAGATACTGCACGTCAGAAAATAATACAAAAAGTATTAAAACTGCATCCGCTCTATGCAATATTACGAAAGTTACCCTCTATATAATATGTACATAAATATCTATAAATAATTTCTATACGAAACGGTTTCAGGGCCTCGTCCTCGGACTCCTATTATACTTAATAAAATGACGTCGGGACAAACACTTTTCGATACATTTAATTAAAACTTTATAAGCTCTTATGCAAGAGAAAAAAGCAAGCTGGTAGGCAGTGATTACATTGAAATAAATTGTAATTCAAATATAAAACAAATTAATCGTGAGTACGAGAAAAAGTTGTGTATGCCGCATTTCGCAGAACATATGGCCGCGTTTCATAATATATAATATAAATAAATAAACTCGAAAAGGCACTGTAAACGAATTAATAATTATAAATTTCGATGCGTGCAAAAGTAATGTCGTGTATCTTTGGCAGTTTCGAAATTTTGTGGGGCGGAAACTCGAACGGTAGTTATAGGTTATAGTTAGGGTAGTTTAGTATTATAGTCACGACCAAAGCCTAAAGGGTAAGTTAAAGAGGGGTTCGCTTTAATAGCGAATATTTTTAAAGGGTTTCTTTGGCGCTCATTAATTATGTAAGAACACTAAAACCGTCTGGATGGTTGTGTGAATTTTCGATGGTTTCCACTCTCCACCCCCTTACCGCTGGCCGTATCTTTCCCCTGACCCATTACCGCGGGGAACGGGTAAAGTATATAACGTAAATAGGTAGTGTGCATTGGCACCGAGGGAATACGTCACTTCCATACACTTCGCAAATGCTTCGCATACATATTAAACGCGGTTTATTATTTTTTTTTTCCGGCGGGGAACTCGCGATGTCAAATAATTATTATCCGTGTGTTCGCCGATTATTGCGACAGATCACTCTCCCCTCGGTGGATCCGCAGTCTGATAGCAATTCAATTTATAACAATACACGTACACACCTAACGCCGCGTTGTGTATAAACGGGTAAATGGAAAAATCGTTTCGGAATATCGTTATTGTGTTCGCGCGTATATACCGCGAGTGCATAACGCAGACATTTTGATTCGTTTATGATAATAGTACATCGATATTCAATTTGCGTAACGCGCGCGTTTAGACGCGTACCATCACGGCAACGAAATAACATTTCGATATTTAAGTATTGATTCTAGGCGTAATAGGACCGCTCCCGACTACACTGCGGGCGGCACCGTACGTGGTGGGTATACTCACGTTGTTTCGGATAAACGGTTTTTTTTTTTTTTTTACAAACACGGTAATCCCGACGCGACAACAACGACTATACACGGGTATAAATGCACGTTTCCCACGCGGACACACACGGCGGAATACTGCACAATGCGTGGCTTACCTAATATCTCGACGGTATGCGATATCTCCCTGGGCTTCATGGTAGCTATTTGACACACGTAGTTGCCCGCGTCGTTTGTTTGAATATCGCGGATTTCCAAGTTGTTTCCGTCCACCAGACGGATCCTTTCGTCCGGAGACACCTTAGTATTGCCGGCCGTCAGGACGGCTATACCTTTTTTCCACGCCAACACGTATATTCCTAAAGAAAAAAAAAAAGAAAAACACACATACATAAGTCACGATTCAATTTTAAAAGCTGCGGGTAAAATATTTTACAAACGATATACATATATTTTTTATTTTCAAAAAAAAAAAAAAATCATCGAATCAACAAGTATAATACGAGTATTAAACATAGTTCCATTTGTACACTGGCACTGAATAATATTTGGAATACAGCCTTCCCCCCCGTCCACTGTTTTAGTATTATTATTATTATTATAACTATTATTGAAATTGTATGAGTTCTGGAAAAATTTAGGATTAGGATTAGGATTTAAAATCAGAAAAAAAATGTACTTAAAATAATACTGTATTTTATGATTTTAGATTTTGTGTTTTATTATTCTGGCTATAATATATATACATACGGAGTGTCCCATGAAGATACAACCATTGTCTCCGGAGATCATAAAGATAATTAATTTCTGTTGCTCATAGGAATAATAACAACAAATACAATATTTATGTTTTGCTAAAAAAAAAAAACCTAAAACAAATAACTTGTATTTTATTATTTTCGAAAAATTTGAAGATAGCCATTTTATAAAGTTTGTTCTGCTGGAAATTTTAACGTATCAACTTTTTATTTGTATTAAATTCGCTATTTTTAAGAATTTTTCAAGTTTCCGAAAAAAATAAGTGTACAGTCAATTAGCCATAATAATAATAACAATAATAATCAATTAGTGAATTCGTTTACAGCCAAGAGCGTCCGTAGGGGGCGGGACAAAAGGGGTTATTGCCTCCCCCCCACGGCGATTTTCAACTGTATACACTTTTATAATGCATAATGGCATACCATTTTATCATCATAACAGTACACAATATTTCTAGAATAAAGCGTTTTCCCCGTTTTGCCCTGGGTGAAATTTTATTCTGCGGGCGCCGCTTGATTACAGCCCGCTACATAATTATAGGAATTTTGTCTTAGATATTTTAATAACGTAATTTTCTACATGATTTGTTTACATTTCAAAAATGATTAATTAAAATATTTGCATTTTATAGTTTATCGAAAATCTAACTTTACTAAGAATATCCGAATTTTCAACGTAATAATGTAAGAGTATTTTTATTAATTAAATCACCGATACTACACAATATAATATACCAGTGGTTCTCAAATTTTTTAGAACCACGATTCAAATTTCCCTGAAAATCTTTCGCGACCTACATGGTTTCATTTTTAAAAAAAGTAGTTTATGAAAACAGCCGGGAAAATCAAAAAAATTACCTCTTTAAAGGACCTCCTCAGTCAGATTTCCTTTCGGAAGAAGTGTTACACTTGGAAATCGGAATAAAATTGCTGGTAGAAAAGTTGTTCACAGATAAAATAAATAATAATAATAAAAAAAAACATTATTGTAAATACATTCTTTTGCTCCGCTCAGAATTTAAAAACTTAAATTTTTCGGAGTTTATATAATTCAAAACAATTTTCGCAAAAATTAACTATGGACTCACCAGTGGGTCGCGACCTACAGTTTAAGAAACGCTGTAATATATTATTATATATTTACATAAATTGTGTATTCCGGATGGCGCAAGAGTACCATTAGTTCTAGAATGAATAATTTTCTTCGTTCGAAAAACGATTCCGAGAGAAGATCGAAATATTTTAATTTAAACGATTCGTTTCGCTATTTATTATTATTTTTTTTTTTGTATTTCACCGGGTTCAGAAATTAAAAAAAAACGACCCGATGGTACAGTATTATGGTTATATTATTTTCGGTTGGAACCTGTGAGGTATTTTATAAAGTCACTCTGAACGAAGCCATTCGAACATTTTTTCACAGTCAAAAATCTAAACCCACCAAATCGTTACTACAGTAACCGGCCATAAATTAATAACTACTTCCTCATACACCCGCCTAACATAACGTGCCTAGCGAAATAATAACCTACTGTCGAATCGTAATTCTTGTCTAATAGATTTGATAATGGGGAAATAATAATAATTAGAGAACGGTTTTAAATTGTCACCTGCTATCGGAGTAATGGTTATAAGAAAATAGTGACCGATACGTAACCGCGTGTGTGATTGGTGGGCGAAACGATTTTCATCTTTTAACCGTATGCGAAATATTTTAGATTCCGAGTGGAGCGAGGAATTTACTGGTTTTACAATGATGTATAATTTTTTTTATTGTTTTTTTTTCTGTGAACTACTTTTCTATCAGCAATTTTGCTACGATTTACAATGTCGGCACTTTTTCTGAACGGAAATCGGACCGGGGAGGTACTTTAAGGAGGTCATTTTTTGATTTTCCTAGGATATTTTCAAATAAATGGGAAAAACGTGAAAAAACGTAGGAAAAACGGGAAAAATGACATATATATATATATATTGTTGACAAGGCAACACTATTCGCTCAAAATTGTTTTTTCGTTAGCGATGTTTTATCGTTGCTTACAGATATACATTGGACTTACCCTCTACTACCTATCAAATTTCTCATTTAAAACTGCAGTAGCTGCTCTCGTCCCCGTAATCTTTTTAAGGGATAATAGTTACAGCGGTTAATTCGATTCAATTCGGTTAGCGACGAATACCGTCGGTTATTTTCAAACAAATTCCACGTACATCGACAAACTGCCGTAACTATCACAAACGGCAAATGCGATATCGTATCCGGCGTTACACGCGCATCGACGTTTACAGACGAAATACAATATTCTCCTTTCGGAATTGTGAAAAACAAAAGCGCACACAGGTACGCATTCAAGTCGCATATAAGCGTGTAAACGTTTGACGAACGGTGTTGAAATAGAGTTTGAACGATTGAGAGGAGAAAAAAAAAAAAAGAAAAAACAGAAATCTTCCGGGAAAACGGCGACGGTCCGCGGATAAACGGCCGGTCCGTCCTGTATATTTGATGAGATTATCCTATACACTGATGTTGTTCAATTGCCGGGATATTTCGTAGTTTCGCGGAGTGTAATAATAATAATAATAATAATAATAATAATAAAGGATTTCGTGTACGTATAGAAACGAAACCGCGACGGATATTGAAAACGTTCGGCGCACCGACGTTATTCGTACAGCCGCAGCATCCGCTCCGCAGTGGTATTATTATTATTATTATTATAGCATTCGTATAATGTTATTAGTATTCTCGCGCGCGCGCGGGTTTTAATGCACGGCGGACATAAATACGAACGTTTTACATTTGATGGATGGGTTTTTGATTCACCTCCGCGGCGGACGGACCGGAAGAATGTTGTCGAGAATTTTGCATAAATTCGTATAATATCCACCGCCGGTGAACGCAATATAATATTGTTACATAAAAGCCGTCGCGCACGTCTACCGTTTACGATCCACTTTCGTCCCGCGTACGTACGTATTTAGGTACCTACACGGGGGTTTTTTTTTTCTTCTTTTTTTTCATATAACGCGGGTACATTCGTACCCGAGGGACGGTTCTCGCAACGAAACGTCTATGCCTGCATATTTTTATTATTATTATTATTATTATTATTTTTTTTTTTTCCGTCCGAGTCATCGTTGCGCGCCCGCAATATATACACGGTGTGCAATAATATTATCTTGTTAAAGCGACGCGATGTTTGGACGGGGGGGGGGGAAACGCCGTTTAACGCGAAAACGTGTTTATAGAAGTAAAGTGTCTGAATTGTACACAACATATTATTTTGTAATAAGGCGCCTCGAACGCAATAAGGGGTATGAGTGATATTTTCGAAAAATCCCAGTTAAGAGCACGGCCGAACTGAAAATATTCCATTTTATTTTGTGGCAGAGAAATATAAGAAAATTGTTCGTCGTGCGCCGCGATCTAGTATCAAATACTAGATCTCACTAAAATAGTCTTCAAATGAAAATGTCATGACAAATTGGAAGTAAATAGTAGGTACAAGGGTCCGCAACAGCTGTTTGTACACTTATGTTTCTTTACTGCCAAGTGGATACAATTTTTGTTTTATCATTCGAATATAAGAACAGTGATGATATGATAATATTCTATAAAAATTGTATTAAATGCAAATAACTTTGTACTTTTTTGAATTCTGTAAATTGAATACGAGTTCCGAAACGATTTCGAACAAAAATGCGATCATTTATCGTTACACTCGATATTATCCGAATTATGAATACAGTTCAGATTTACGGATCGCGTAGTTGCACCCTCGTTTATCCCCTGCCCAGCCCTTTAAAACCGAGATCATAACAGAGAGTATTTCCAACGTGCATAATATATTAGGTAACTATCTAACTTTTTTATCCCTTTCGCAATGGCAAAAGAAATTGTTAGTTTTACTATGACGCGTGTTATTATTATTTTTATTCCGGAAAAACTTTTTGGCGTATGTATTATATAAATGATAAAAAAAATAAAATATACTTCGCAATCGTTTTATTCGGTACATAAACGTATACCATTAATTCGCACAAAGAAAAGTGAATATAAACGCTCGTAAAAAGTTATTTTTTTGTTGAAATTCTCGGTTTGACGGAAAACTAAATAAAAATAAGTGTATGAAGAAAATGTAGCGAAAAATTCGAGTTATGAAAAACGAGGAAAATTATGCGCTTTAACTGGAGGGTCACGGTTTTCAGAAAAATTATAAGGGGCCAGTCACAATATTCCAGTGTTAATTGTAAATTGTCGTATGGCATATTCGTATCATAGATAATATGTTAATAATATGTCTATGAATCGCACATGCCAAACGATCTTTCCTAAAATATTATAACACCATAATTATTCGTGTCTTGCAGTGTATAACCGTTATTTATTTTCTATTGTGATAATAATGTATTCGGATGATACTTTTTAGTCTCTACTGAAGATAGTGAATTTCAAATATGTCAAATGTCAATTAATATTTTATATTAATATTTTTGAAATTTGTATCGATTTAATTTAGCGTTTCGGTTTTAACGGACGTTATACCGGACTCCTGCGGTATAATGCGAACGTTCCTAAGATAATATATTTGTATAAAACAAAAAAAAAAAAACAAACAAAAACGATTTTCGAAATGTATTTACCGCGTATAAAATAAATACGATTATACGAGTGACGCGATTCACGCGAGTAATCGTATTTACAATATTTATGGAGAATTCAAATACGGAAAGAGCGAATAATTATCACGCCATGTCGGGATTTCAAAAAATACTATTAGGTGCGAACTTTTCAACATGTTATGTTTGTTGTAAAATTGAATTAATATATTAACGGTAGCAAGGCATAGAACACGTTTTGTTAAACTGAATACATAACATACAGTTGTTTTATAAAACGCTGACATGATGTTTGCGAAATCATTAAGTGGGTATTTCACCGTAATAACTAGTCCAACATAAGTAAACACGTTTTTTGGTTTTTTTTTTACCGATAAAAAAAAAAAAACTGTATGTTATAAAATATGTTTGAGATTTGATTACGTTTTCGAGCGGTACAACTGCGGTTGCAGTTAGAAAGTCGAGGAAGCATGTAGTGAGTAATTCAATTAACTTACGCTTCGCAACTATAAATCATTGTCATTAAAGAACGAATTCTGAACGGAGTTTGGCAATGATATATATTTTATTTATTAGTATGGTCTTTTTCTTTTTTTCCCTAGTCGTAGCCAAGGTAACCAAGATATCGTCAAAAATAAAACTTATACGTGTCGTCATATTATAATGCTATCGGTTTTTCAATTCATGTTTTAGAAACATTCTCTGCAGTATAGTAATGTTCGCATCTTTTAGAAGATTCCGCATAAAAAATAAACCCAGACCATTTGTATATACTAATCGAAAAAGTGTGGCGGAAAAAACACATCTCAATGAATCGAATGGCTTCTGCTAAAATAGTTAAATTTCCATGGAATATTATAATACCATTACACACACTGTATTCAATATAAAAAAAAACTTTTCTCGGTTGATTAGGTATTTTGTATTAAAAAAGGCCTACTACAATATGTTTTGTTTAAAAAAAATATATTGGCATGTTGTTCATTTTGTCGTTTTCCCCGAAGTCTTTGATAGATATTTGTTTTTTTAATCGTTTTATTTTATAAAATACTTATTGACGTTTTATTCATTTGGGACTGTACCCCTGTAAATTATTTTGTTTGTGCCTATATTATGTTTGCCTATACAGAGCTAAACCAAACATTTTTAGGATATTTTGCTTTTGAAGTGACATCGAAATAAAAAACAAAAAAAAAAAAAATTATATTTATGATAACACTCGTGTACCTACCCCTGTGAATTACTACCCATACATTCAACCCACGTCACCGGCCGATGAAATAATATTGGGAATATTCGAGTTGGGACCCTGGATATTTGTCGTTTAAATTAAAATCGAGCTGGGTCCGCGGTGTTATTCGGTTGTACTCGAATTATTGTGTAATAATATTATATCCGTAATAATAATCGTAAGCAAGCGCAGCCTTTGTGAAAACGAAAAATATATTCTGTAGCCATTAGTTACAAGCACTGATTTTCAAATCAGAATGGTTCGTCGTTATGTCTTTACCGAGCTCTTTGTGTTGAGGAGACTTGGACTCCAACCGAAGCTTCGATCGATCGAGTTCAAGTGTTTGAAATGCGGATATGCCGCAGAATATTAAAAATTAATTCTGTTGATCGCATAACGAATGCCAGTGTATTATTAGAACGAAAACAGTGAAAACCATAAAAGTGCGAAAACTTCAATACTTTGGACATTTCATACGGCACCCCGCAGAAAAATATAACTTACTAATCCAAGGGAAAACTACGGTTGGAAGAAGTCGCGGAAGACCTCGGAAGAATCTCAGTAAGCGGTTCAACATATTATCTACGAGTTCACTATTCAGAGTAGTCAATGGATGATAAACTTCAAATTGCTAGCATGATTGCCAACGTTCGATAGCGCATTCAACACTACAAGAAGTAGTTGTCACCCGGACAAATTAACGGTTGTAGGCTATAGTCTTGCTATTTGTTATAAATAAAATATAAGTAACAATTAAAATGTTTTGTGGTAACGTTTAGTAAAATTTAGTACAACGAGTACTAATTAGTACATTACTATTAGTCGAGGATAGATTTAAATTTCGTTTGCACAAATGTTGTTGAATGACATACAACGTTGGAAGTGTTTTCAAAATACGTGTTTTTTAAAAGTATCATCCACCTTACAAATAACAAAAAAAATGTAACGAGCATAATCGCGAAAACTGTGATAGTAAGGTTCTGGATAGACAAATGTATAAAAAATTCGATAATAATTTTAATATTTTTGTAATTTTATCAGAGTATATTAATAAAGTAACAATAATCGAAATTTCCGGGAGACTTTCTAACCTAATCTCCACGTGGTGTTTCCCGGGTCACTTTATTAGGCTGGATTTAAGTTTTAAATACATAAATAATAATCAAATAAAATATGCCTGAATAAATATGCCGGGATCCAGCTCGGGTACTCGTTAAAATGTGCCGGGGTTCAATTCACGCCGTCGGACCCGCGACTCGAGGTCAGCCATAATATTTTGTTATCGTCGAATTATGATTATGGCCGAGTACAGGACGCATATTATATTGTAGTTTATGTTTCTTTTTTCTCTCTTTTTTTTTTTTAATCATCGAATTATAATTTCAACGTAAGTATAAGAACAGCGCTATCATAAATCGCGAAAAATACCTACTTACCGGGTATATATTATTACTCCCGAAATATCATAAAAAATTAACATTTATAAACGCTCGCATTATTTTCGGTATTTTTAAACTACTAAGGCGTACTAAAACCGACTTGTTTATATAGAGCACCATCTGCGTTTTAATTGCGTATTATCATAAAATAAGTGAACCATTCTTTTTTTTTTTTTTTATCGTGTGTTTACTGCCCCGAAAATTTTATTATTCTCTAACGCTATATAATTTCATCGTTTTTCGCAATACCTCTGAAAACGTCGTGTAAATAGTAATTTACATTTTGACAGTATATGATGAATGAAAAAGATACAATATAACGTACTATTATTTTTTTTTTTTTTAGTAGATAAAAAATATAATAATATGTTCTTTATTGAAATATAATTTTAATAAAGATAACAAAAAAAAAAAAAAAAAACCAACAACAATGCAAATAATAATTTTATTCAAGTCGGATATGAATTTTTTTTTCACGTTTCGTGGAACATAAATTTGCATTATACTTATTGAACTTTTATGAATAATATAATAATCCGCACAAGTTATTAATATTATAATACCTATGCCTATTAATAATAAAATAATATTGTAAAAAAAAAAAAATGTCTTGAATACGAAAATTCAATAGATTTTTCGCTTAATGTTTATTCGATGAGTGATAATTATATTAAAATATTATAATACAGTGGTAGTCGCTTATAGAAATTATATTTGTCCGAGAGTATTTTGATCACTATAAGCGGCGACTCAAAAACAGGTAAAAAAATATTTTACATATGTACATACATACGTTTTATAAATTCTTTCAAATAAGTTGGCGGTGTTCAGCTGTTTTTTTTTTTTTTTGTATAGATTTATCGGGGCTCCGAAATTTCACTTTGCCAACTTACCCACAAATTGCGCCACTGGTTTGAATTGCATCAGCCATACAATTAGTTTGTCAGTCTGTCGGTCATTGTCAGTCATACACATACACATACAATCAACGTAATTGACAGTCAAGACTGACAGTTTACAGGGGGCTTTAGATGGGTTACACTAACATTAGATTAGATTAGGTTCGTAAATTAACAATCGTCAGATTTTTCTTCCCTTTGTGTATTATTGTATAATTTCTATTTCTGATCACTATAACCGAAAATCTGAACACAGTAAGCGACGAAAGATGCACCGATAACTACTGTTTGTTCCGTTCCTGGCCTTACTGATCACTAAAAGCGGCCGATTCTTATAACTAGTGAACACATTATAAGCGGGGACCACTGTACTATGATAATACGAGGCGTTCGGTTTGTACATTTTTTCTCGTTGGAAAAATATTAGAATAATATTTCCGTTATTGTATTATATTATTATAAAAGGTGAAAACCGAATGCGAATAAAATATATTAGGTATATTATTATACAGTTTAAAATGGTGTGCATTTTCATTGAAAATTCTAAATTCTACTCTGTGCGGGGGTACGTCTCTATATGATAATAACGAATAAACGGTTCATGGGCTCTAGGATTTGGGAGTGCTGGATGATTAAGCAGCCGGTATAGGTGTACGCACAAAATGCTGAACGTGTTCTAATAGTAATTTGGTCGCTTATTCAGAAAAAAAATGTTCAGGTTAAACGTTATCAATTAACACCTTTGGTCGTTATGACGAATAATCTGGATGGCGGATCCAGGGGGGGGGGAGTAATAGAGTCAAATGTCCTCCTCCCATTTGCTCTCAAATATACTCTGATCTTCATTTCTATCATAAATGTATACCTTATATGAATTTTCAAAATCACTTTCCCTCCCGTTTTCTTGTTCCGAATCCGCGGGTAATAATAACAATAAAATTGGTGTATACCTAATACTGCGACGAGATAAAAAATAAGTACACGAGTGTCGGCGTCATAGATTATAATATATTAAACTTATCTACATGTGGCAAAATCAAGCAATAAAAGCTTACAAGAAAAAATAGCTATTAATAAAGCCAAATACGCTAGTCATAATGTTTAATTCATTTCTTCGAGTAATCATTATGGTAATTTATTACTTTATTTGTTTATTTTGTTTATTATGAATTTTCAAAATAATTATTGTAATAATTGAAATGTATACTCCTAGTGTATGTCAACTACTTATTATCCAAGCAATTTTTTATTTTTTTTTGTAAGAACTCCTACACGAGTTTTTCTCAGTGAGGTCCAGTATTCATTGTACGGAATTCAAATGAAATAAATATTTTACGTTTAGCGTTTAATATTTTGACACGATCGGAATAGATACACATTGTACGCAATATAATATAATAATGTTGCCTGTCACAAAGACTGCAAAGGTCGCATCCCGGATTCAGGACGTATTTTTTTTCAGCACCGCCCCCGAAAAAGTTCGTATCTCTTACGCCCAAAGAGATTTGATAAGAAGTTAAAAAAAAAAAAAGTGAGATACGACCTTTTTCATTACGGTTGGCGGTGTAATAACCGCCGGGACAAAATACTTCTCGCGTTAAAATTGTATATTATATTTAACATCATTAGACGAATTTATCCGACGAGTTCTGTGTGGAGGGAAGAGGGTGAATAAATACATCCCCGAAATCCGCTCCTGTTCGTAATTAATAATAATAATTAGCTATTTTTCTTTACTATAGCAATCGAATACGCGTACATAATATTAGCGCCTACGTAATTATTTCTTATCGGCATTTAAATTATCGGTCGATAACAATCATTTGTTTGGATTCCGAGTTCAACGGCTTATGAATTATGACTGTTTGTGAATCGATATAATGAAAATGCGCGTAAAATTCGTTCGGCTAGTGTAAATAATACGCAATACTGGCGAGCGCGTAATCTTTCGTCCTTTCTCCGAGCCTCTAATATTATGTTATACATTTTACCCCCGCCAAAATACTGTCGCCGTATGGCCACTTCATTCCATGTATATTTTCTTTTCTATTTTTGTTTCATCTATATCTCGTACTCTATGCGAAACAAAGAAAAAATTGTTATAAATTTCAAAGGGAAAAAAATAACAACGAAAATTACCGACTATTCTCGAGAGAATATTTCGCGCAAAAGATTATTACCGTAATTTAAAAAAAAAAAAAAATAACACTACGTCACGTTAATATCGCGCGCGCGTGTCACACGTGCGGTCTCTGCGGATGCTCGCGTGCGTCCGGCGAAAATTGCCCGATGATAAATAATGATACGAACGCGAGTAACGAAAAAAAAAAAAAACGAAAACCTTTTGCACTTTGTTACATTGTGTCAACGGAAATTATTGTTTAGCATCGGTAAACCCTATCCGCGTATTTTTATATACACAGGATACACTGTACACGTTGTAATATACTCTTGTAATAGTGGCGGAGGCGGCGGTGTAGTAGGTAGGTGGTACTCATATTTATGTAGGTATAGGTTGCACGTGACCAAATATTATATTATTATTATTATTATTATTATTATTATTTTTATTTTTTTATATTATATATATGTATACTTGTATAAAGTACAGTACCAAGCGTAAAAGGTCTCGCCGGGGGACAGCAAAAATAATAATATTATATATTTTTTTTTTGGTGGGTGGAGGGATGGGGGAGGGGTTCTGGTGGTCGCGGGTCCGGAGTAGTAAAAAACGTGTACGACTACAGCTAAATTATAATATATATATATATATATATATGTTTTCTATGTTCGTGTACAGGTACGGTGGCGGTATATTATATATAACAGAGAGAGTTTAAAAAATCGGAGTAGCGTAAAAAATTATGCGCCGTGAAAAGAATTTTTCATTAGGCAGGTATTATTATTAGTAACGCGAGAAGGGGATGTGCGGTGTTTTAGAGGCGTACATATATGGGTATATAATACATAGATACGATGAACTTTTATTGTTATACAACTACTGTTTTATTATCATTTTTTTTTTTTTTTTTTTTTTTTCAAGTCGCCATAAGTGGGACCCTCCTCGCACACAAATGAATGATGTAGGGGAGATTTTTCATCATGCAGGGTTTTAAAATATCATTTTTTTTTTTTTTTTTTTGTCGAGTGCGTTTTCTTTTGTTATTCCGAGGGGATATTAATGTAATTTGAAAAACAAAGCCACTGGTCTTTTTAACAGGAAAAAAAACGTCTACAAGAGTTTTTCAACACGGTTTTAGCTTGAATAAACGAAAATCCAAACCGATACTTGTACGCATTATAATAATATAGAAACAATATTACAATAATAATATACTGTTCTTTTATATTAGTTCTTATGCATAGGTATACAAGCGCGTGTGCCGTAACAGTTTGACTTAAATCGATTATAAAGAAATGTGTGTTTCATAATTATCGTGAATTATTATATCCTTGTAATACTGTTAACATTACTTTGGTAAGTCTGGTCCGTACGGCTATAGTGTTGCTGTCGTGACGGTCACGGGATAGAAACCATCATGAACTATCGTCGCTGTGTGAACAGTGCGACCGTAAGTAGTAAACTATCACAGAAGCTGTTATCGTATACATTAGCATGCGTGTTGATAACTACTATCTCGAGAGTGATAGCAATTTATCATAGTGTGGGCCGCGGACTGAAATTATGTTCAAGTGTACCGTTACTACGCAATCTTTCCGTTGATAACGATCTCGTTTCCAGTCATATTGCATACTGTATTGATACGTGGTGTACCGGACACGTTGTATACTATCGTTTTGTTTTACTGTCGTGGCGCCACTCTCACGGACACTTCCATCAAAATCCACTGTACGAACATTCACTCCTACTGCGTGAAAGTGAACGCTGTGTCTCACGACAGTTGACTGTCGGGTGTTATCGCGACACCGACCTTTACGATCTAGTAATCTAGTAACACTATCGTCGTGTGGACCAGGCTTATACTGTTATAGTTACACGAATAGTTAAATTTAATTACAAAAATGCGGCTATTTAGTGACTGTGTTACGATGTAGGTACCGGCATGATTTGATATTGGATATTTTCCCCGAAAGAATAAATAAAATAAAACCGAATATTAATGAACTAAATAATTATTATAACGACGCGAGTAATTGTATTCCACCGATCGAACATTGCTAACGCGTATAATTTGTTTTTTTTTTTTATCATTTTTATGTAACTTCGAATTTGCATTCTTGACAATTACATTGTTGAATTTGAATATTATTAGTGTTTGTTAATTAATATTGTTCCGTCACTAGGAATAGATAATAATTAATGCGTATAAATGTAATGCCGATTAAATCGATTGCTTATATTATAATAACTAATAAACCAATTAAATTATTGTAATAATAATAATAATTATAATTCAACAGGATTTTAGGACCCGAGTTATCCTCGTCACGGCCGTGTTTGAATATATCATTATTATAAACCGTGCCTGAGCAAACCTAACATCACAGACGAAAATACATATTTGATACCCGAGAGAAAATTAGGTATCGCGGAAGATCTTTGGACTAGTAATGGATAAAACGTCAAAACCGGAAAGAGCGGAGACAAAGGACAGAACGACAGCGGATAATATTCGGAGAATACAATACTTCAGAGACCGTACAAAAAGGAATGTTGCGATGGACCGGACATGCACGGAGAATCCGAAACTCAGTACTAGAGGAACCGATTTCAATAGGCAAAAGACCTTTGGGAAGGCCGGGGATGATGTTGAAAGATTACGTGCGTAGAAGCTTTAGGTGGTGGACTGAATCGAAAGATTTTAGCGATAGATATAGTCAACTGGATTGGTTTTGAGATGAACAGATGCCGAATAATTCCCTCCCATCCTCCAAAAAAATTAAAAAAAAAAAAATACAACTAGAGAATATTGGAAAATCTTATTTTATGTCGGAATATTATATATTGCATACAAATGGTCAACATCGAATACGTTTCAACGTTTAAAATAATTGTTCACGAACACTTATTTAATTTTATAGATCACAAAAAAAAAAAAAAGAGAAAAGGTATGTGTATACTGCACAGCATGCCCGATATTATAATAATGCACACTGACATTGTACAGAATTTTTATTCCGTCAGTTTAAATACATTTTTCGAAAATAGTCGATTATAGTATAATATATTATTATGGATGATTTTAATTTGTCAAATCTAACTTACTATTGAGTTTTCAATTTGAAATAAATTTTCATTTTGCAGAACACAAAAAAAATAAACAAACAATATTATGCGTATAATAAACTTTTACACAATACACTGGTTGTCGATATTATACGAAGTTTTCCTTTGAAATTATTAAGTGAATTGAAAAAAAAAAAACTTAAGTTCTATAAGAGTGAAAAAGTATTTTTTTTTGATTCCGTATTTATTTTTTGTTTTCTATGTTTTAGTTACCTAACTTAAGTTTTCTGTTGTACTGATAACGAAAATTAAATTAAATATAATATTTTTAGGTAATCTATAACTTATGGTCTCATTTTATACTATAGACGTAGTATAATATAGTCCTATACGAGAAATACAATTCAAGAGATCAGCGTTGGGAATGTTCCTTTTAAAAAGGAATGCGTTCTTGTTCCTCGTTCCTTAAAAAAGAACTCGATACTTTAAGCGTTCCTTATATTGTTAATAACGATCTAATTTTTTATGTTCTCATTCTTCTTAATTTGAAAATACCTTAGCAGATAATATACGTATACATATTATGGCGACGGTGTCAATCACTAAACAATTTTTAGGAAATATTGATATTTTAATCACGATTGTAGATATAAATTGTGATCATTCGTATAATATACGGTAAATTGATAAATTTTTAGGGGGGAAAAATGGAACGGAAATTTCCGTTCACATTCCTTCATAAATATATACGCTTTCTCGTTCCTCGTTTCTTTATTTCAAATGTGATTCCAGCTTTCGTCCTAATAAAAGGTACGCGTTCCTCCCCGACACTGAATACGATTAGATAACAATAAGGTACAAAAAGAAAAACAAAATTAGAAAAACAGAAACGGCGGGTTACGATTGAACGCGTTTTACCTTTTTAGGTAATAATTGCACGATTGTGCTCGGAGGAGTGTCGGAACAACAAATAACAGAATTTCGACTCTAGAATAGCGTAGGTACGACTCTACGACTAAACGGGGGACCAGAGATGATGTTGCCAAGTTTATTACCGACTTATTAGTTCTTGCAATCTGTGTAGCTTTTCTGTTGCTATTTTCACATAAAACTTGTCTATCTGTATTTTGAGTTTATACGGTGAACTTTCCCCTTTCCATTATATAGACGAATTATCACCACGTTGCCTGTAGTATTGTATTTAAGCGCTGGTTTTTCGGACCACCTTTATCCAACATATCTGTATTGGACGCTTTATGTTATAATTTATACTCATATTTACATTTTGTTTCATACACACTATATTAGACCGTCCTTTTCTCATTCCGACTTAATGTTATAACATTAACAACATATTTAAAAACGTAAATAATATCTGACGAATGCATAGACTGACGGTGATGCGTATATAGAAATCATGCACGATTATCGTATGCTCAACGTTCATTAATTTTATGTAATACATTTTTCGCTACGCTTGAAATCAGAATATTATAGTGAAATCAATAACTGTTGTTGCATATGAAACTATATTGTTGTTTGGTTTTTTTTTATTATTACTATCCTATTATCGTATTAATAAACAAGTGTATACAACTTAATAAAATTCAGTATTTTATCATTCAAATATTATATTAAAAAAATATATAAAAATATGCCACGATCCATTTATATCCGTGACGTCATTTGTACGCGGCGGCGATATCCCAGATAATATGCCTAATAGCACCTTCATTGCATTTAATAAAACTTCGTGATGCGTAAATGATTCGCTCAACCATTTACGGAATTCTTCACGATTTCCTAGGAATTTACAATATATATTATATTGCAGGAGTGAACTTAATGATGGCTTATTTGGATTTTCGGTGATCGATATATACAGACGTCAGGGTTGAGTAGTATCGTCGATGAAAGTATATTAAATATATAGGTACTATAATCTTATAGATACAATATTGTATCCTGTATGCAGTTCTTGAAAGTATCGAGTATATCACGTTTTGTGAATCAATAGATCTTAATACTATCGACAGTTTATCTGTAGATACTCGTTTTGAGGTAACTTGTCTAGCGCCATATACACGTACGTACATAATATTATATGGTCGGGTGCAAAAAATTCCAAAAAAAAAAAAATGTATCATAGTCCATAAATATTGTCCAACTTTTTTATTTTTTTTTATTTCATAACAGATTCTTCTTGCACTAACAACCATTCTTGCACCATTACATATACATTAGGAATAATATACTATCCGAGGGGAATAAACAATTTATTATTGAAAACACTGTATGGGTATTAAAACAAAATATCTGGTATATGTACTGCAAAAAAATCCAAGAACTAGGCATTTCTATTCCATTTATTTTCAATGTTATAAACTTTGCATGTTCAAAACGCAGTCGTTTATTTTTCACGTGTATCTTATCTTCAGATACATGCTTACACGAAGTAGATGACGTAGGAGAGGGGAATTAAAATTTAAAAAAAAAAGTACATTGTGTTGAAAAACCAATAGTTATTATAAACCAACAATTAAAAAGAAAACCATTGTATACTCTTAATCGTTTCATTTTATTGTAGGTAGGTATATACGTTGTACGCGGGGCAATTTACACACCGGATAAACATTTCTAAAGGGTGATTATATTCAAATTGTTTTGAATGTAATATAACATTACGTTTTTTACGCAATCATCGTCATATAATACAAGTACTTGTGCAGTGTATATAACTTAAAAGCTGTCCGATAAACTGCCCGGGGGCTTCGTCGGGGTTAATTCGAATAACATTACGGTTTAATTTCATTATGCGATTATTGTCGAAGAGGAAAATAACGGGTATATAAAGTAAATAATAATATTATTAAAAAAAAAAAAAAAAAAAAAAAACAACACGTAAAAAAAATTAAATCGAAAAACAGAATTATTATAACAAACGACCGGGCAATGTGTGTAAAACTGTAGCAAGCGAAATAATAAACATTACTATGTGTATATAGGTACCGTTCATTATAATATATTATAGGCTCTTATCAGTTTTTAATATTGACATTTTCATTTGTATATTCAATAAATTATATCTGGTCCGATTCATATAGGGTTTATATAGCGCAATTTATTATTACTATTGACATTTTTTTTTTTTTATTATTATTATTTTGTTTTTTTTAATCGAAAATAACGTTTGGAAATAAATTAAATTATTTAAACGCATTACAGTGCACCGGGGTTAACTCGCATTCGACGATATTTTCCACAGTAGTAATTAGATTATTAGTTACGTTATCAAATCGTATTATATCAATATTATGATTACATTTTTGCGAACGCAGAATATTTGAATAATCGATAATTCAGTTATAGTGTACCTATATAATTATCTCTTTATACGTACACCGGATAAAAATCGAAGGAACAAATAATGTCTAAACGCGAGTGCATTATTATACACTATTACTGTAGTAATCAGGGTTGGCAAAAACCGGAGACTTATTGAAAAATCCTGAAAACTAACAAAATTACCCCGGTTTTGTATGGCGTATTTTGAAGGTATTTAAATAGGGGTTGGAAAAAAAACATTCATTTAAACATAATATACCACATAAAAAAAAAAAAAAAAAAAATAAAAAAAAAATACTACTTTTTTGTATAATTCATATACGAGTATATTAAAATATTTACCAGCGGTGACTTTTAATTTTACAGCCGAATGGTTAAACATTTTAAAACAAATTATTCCTAAATATTTAATCCTTTATCGTAACAAGTGAATTAGGCGAGTAATTAATAATAATAACTAGTCAGCCGTTATCAATAACTATTATATCCAAATATTGAGAATTATTAAATTTTTTTTATCAATGCGGAAAAAATAAATAAACTATACAATTTCAAAATCATCGTTTATAACGATTGAGAATATTCTGTTTTTTTTTTTGGGGGGGTGGGGTGACTGGGCTAGTGTTTTTAGACTAACTTAACCAATTAAAAAAAAAAAAAATTAATAAAAATCCCGTCCTGTTTTTTTTTTTTTGGGGGGGCTGGGTTTTTCTTAGCCGACCCCGTTTATGATATTATCATATTAAAATAATATGGCATAATACGCTCACGCGGTGTAAAAAGTTAGACGGATACAATAACAGTTTTCTATGAAAACATGAAAATATGCGTTGCCGAGAAAATATTTTCATTAAAAACGTGTTTCATAATATGTGTACCGCGGTTATCGGTACTGATATTATTTCATAAGACTTTCAAAAAGATTCGAACTTTTGGATCGGAGACTTTTGAATTCAAATTACTCCGGTCGAATATTTGTATAACTTTGTGTGGTTGTATAGGTATATACGTACACATCGCTGCAATAAAGCAGTTTGTTCGAAACGAACGGATTTCGGGGGTCGTAAAAGATGAAACGTTTCTGTACCTACCTATATTATGGAAAACTCAATAACCAAGCGTAATATTTAAAGTTACCGTCAGATACAGAAGTAATAATGTTACGGATAGTATGTAAGTGCGTATAGTATGTGACGTAAACGAACGATTAATAATTGTATAATTACCTCGCCGCATACTCATCAAATGATATGTTAATGCGTTTTATATCCGGTGCGAGCGAGTATTATATTGTTGCGGGTAGACTTTTTTTTTTTTTTTTGATTTTTCGCGCGATTATTTAAAGTTTTTCTAAAATTAATTTTTTCATACAATTCGAAGGAGGTACGCGCGAAAACTGTTCTAAACTATCGCCACCCTAATAACGCGTACACGTATAAACGGGGGCGTATTTACGCGTTTACCGCTTGTAGGCCTGTGAAAAATTTCCGCCTTCAATGTTATTGAAATAAAAATCGACAAGGATCGCGAAAAACCGTTCCTGAACTCGGCGAACAAACTAACCGTAGGAACGAACCTTCTTTTGTTCCTCCGTTAATCCATTTGCTTCAAGTGGTCCGTGAACTCATCTCAAGTAGTTAGCTTACATTATTGCTGATTTTATTATGCACGTATAAAATAATTATAAACTATAAAGAAATAAGTTGCGGGGGAGTGGAACCAAGTGGTCCACGGTGGTGGAAAATCGACTATGTGGTAACAGTGGTAGGAACCACTGTTCTAGTCGAACGTCTTATTGTTTATTCACCGCACACGCACGTTTAGAGTTAATAAATTCGTTAGTCGTATTTCGATTGATACCGTTTGGTTGGCGGATTTGTCTCTAAAACATTATACTTTTTATCAGTTTTCATTAATATCGGGCAACTCACACGAGTTTATTATGTTTTATGTAACTAAGTCATGCCTATATTATTGGATAACCTATTGTTATTTTATTATCACTATACTATGATATAGGTAGACAATATTCGTTTTCTTCGTAATGATATCAGTATAATATTTCAATTACTGTTATACAATCTGTAATAGAAGTACCGGGAGCTGTATTTGAAAAAAAAAAAAAAAACTCGGTTGACCATTACGATTTTGATTTAAAACATCACGCATTCTAACGAATGAAAATCGAAAATGGGTACAATGGCTTCACCTTCAGAAACAAGGTTGATAAAAAATAACGGTAATTTAAAACATTTTAGAAATTGTTCGTTTCCTAATATTTATCATAAAAAAAAAAAAAATTCAGAAGGAAGTTAATACTTTCCGAGATATCGCAATGGGTAATAATATATATATATAGTGTGACATCCACATCTTGTATTTTAATGATATGAAAAACAAACTATTAGCACTCCAGGTCTTTATTTGTGTCCACAGATGTGCTCGGTTTATTTTCTCTTGGCAAACACTAAAATAATAATATCTCGTATAGCATTTTGCGTAAATATACTCGTAGTAGAAAAAAATGTACGCAGTAACTTAATAGATACCTATTCAAATAATTTAACGTAAACGGAACGAGCTTTTACATCAAAGAGAAATTTGTGCGGACATTTTTAATTTTTTTGTACATTTTTCAATTCAATTCAATATTCTGAAAATTGCATTAAAAAAAAAAAATACTGCAGACCAAATCCCCAAAGAGAAATTATAAAATACGAATATCCGGTACGGATTTAATTACGAGCTTCAATTATAATTATTATGTTGAATACCTATATGTATTGTTGTAGTTTGAATGCAACAATTTTATCGTTAATTAATATTACCTGCCTAATAAAACGCTATAGCGACCCGCGATTTTCAAAACCATAAAAATATACGTACATAAAATTATATGTTTTTACAATCTTAATTTGATATCGCGTTATTTTATATTGTTTACGTTCCGAACCGATATTTTTAACGAGCGTAGAAAATAAATCCAATGTTTTATAAAGTACATTTCGCATTTACCTTGCAATGACCACAGCTAGGTTTTAAACCGAACCTATCGTCAAACGAATCGACTTTTACGTTAAGGTGCACAACATTATTAGTAAAGACAAAAAATATAGGTACTGGACGGAATCTAAAGAAAATGTACGACGGCACTTCTAATATTAATGTACAGTTTAAATAATCGGGGGCGGATTTAGATACGTGATGGCCCGTGTGCGGAATATATTGTGGGGCCGAAAATAAATAAAAGGGTCAATACATTTGTTGATTTTCTGTTTATTTAATTTACTTAGTAATAAAATATAAAAACATTTAAACCGGGTAGTTCATGATACGGAGTTTACGGAATATAAATTGCTTAAATATTAATTTAATTCGTCGTTCGTCGTTTACCGCCGCGTTACCAATAATTTGACGTATAATTTCAGATCGCTAGTGTGTATTGTTTAGATAAACGTATTCAATAATATTGTAAAGATTGATGGTGATTGACGACACAGAGATCTTTCTTTGCTCGATTTTAGAACACCTCTCGTTTATTAGATCTCACATTATATACGTTAATAAAATAATGGGTAAAATATCGAAAAAAAAAAAAAAAACTGTTATTTTTCTAACGAAAATTTAATTTAAAATAGAAAATTCCGTATTTTACTTATTTATTTTAAAATTTAATATATTATTATTATTTTTTTTTTTTGTTTTAACCGTTTAATATTTATGAAAATATGAAGTCCAAAATTTACAGGGGCCCCTGGGCTACAACCCACTTAGCCCCACCTTAAATGTGGCTCTGAGTTTAATAATTATTTCGTTATCGGAGGTTTTGATTCGATAAATTCGATTTGAAGTGTCAAATATCCATTTGGGCGCTCACGAATCGCCTCCTATTTTAGGTGACTCTCTTGTACTCGAATCGCCTCCGACAGTTATAACTAATCGATTTCTAACTATTTATACGTTATAGGAAATATTAATAAATTAAATTCAAAGTCAAAGTTGATTGATTTAATGTTAATTAAAACTAATAAATAATAATAAATGTATCAATATGATATACGTCAAAATCTTGAATTGGTTGCATAAATAACTATAAATATTTCGGTAAATAGATCGATACAACAGTTATAATTATTAATGATAATAAAAAATAATACATAGTCAATACGTAAAATAATTTAGATGAAATGTGAAAATGTACGGAAATACCGTATGTCTTAAAAATAATATTTTTGAACATTACGGAAATTGATAAAATAATCGATAGTACAGATACAACTATTGATTTATTAACTAATAATTTAGGTATGCTATAACTGGAGGCAGTTCGAGTGAAAAAAGGCCACTTACTTAAATTTAGGAGGCGATTCGAGAATTACCGTCCATTTATTGTCAATATAGGTATCTATAACATATAGGCATACTCGTGTGCAGATCCTATTGGTAGGGGTGACGATGATATTTGAAATCGATTAAAAATAATAAAATAAATAAAAACTTGCGTTAGGCGCGAAAAGCCCAAATGATTTGGTGTCAGTTAAAGCCCCCGGAATAACGATTTACTGTCCTCGGTATTTTTACTCGATGCGGAGTCGATTTGCATAAGGGGATGGGGCTGAACCTTTCTAATTCTCCCTGTTCGCACCAACGCACAAAATTACGTAGGGCCGTTGGGATTGAAAATTTCAAAAAATTATTAGCTAACATATTATATATATATATATATTCTTTTTTAAAAGGCTTTGGTAGAAAATCGCGCAGGCGAGACGGCTGCCCATCTGTCTTCCCCGCGCGTACGCTTATGCTTGTATAGCTGATAGTAAAAATGTATTGATTAATATTTAAAAAATTAAACCGTTCACTAGAACCGATGATGCACGAACGAATCGTATTGTTTGTTCCGGGGGGGGGGAAACGAAAAAATCTCGACAGTTTACAACAAATAACAGGTATAGGTACTCCGAAGCGGTTAATCATAGGAATTTAAGACTTAAAGAATATTTACCGAGCTATTGTATTCTAATAGGTATTACATGATCCCCGTTTAATGAAAATCAATCAAAATGAAATTAACGATCCTTTAATAATAGAAAGCATTATTTTTAGCGCGGTCGATTAAACCCGCTGGGATTTGTTTTCGTACAGTTTGTTACAACGTCATAAACAAAACATTAATTTGTTTTTCTAAAACTTTCCACCGAAAAATTATATTTTTTTTACATTTTATCGATTGCGAATTTTATAATACACCCGGTCGAACAAAGGCTTTATTCGATTTTATGAATATATAAATATGTATAAATAATATATATATATAAATATTCTCGATACCCTCCTCTAAGTACGTTTTTTTTTTATATACCCACGGGATCATACGAGACGATAATTTTTTTTTTTTATTCGTACCTATATTCATAAAATGTTTTTAATTTTTAATTTGCGGTGTTTTACGTTTATTGTACTTACTATTATATTTCGGTGTACGATTGGATACACACTTTTTGTCGAAGGGAAATATTTGATTAGGTTTATATATACCACATTCATATTATATATCAAGTGTAGAGAGGTGTAAAAATAACATTTTTCCCAACCCTTTTGAGTTAATGGCGTTTCGTTATTTTTTTTTTTTTCGACTTGCGTGTGCTTGCCCACGCCGGTTAATTTATCGCATTAATTCTAAGTTTGTTCCTGTGCAGGCGAAATGGCTATTTTTTTTTTCGTGGTTATAATAATAACTTATATACGTATATATATATATTATAGTATAACAACGTTTTAAATATGTAAATCAACGTGCATGTACCGCGACCGCGAACAAATTAAAAATTAAAAACACCCGTCAGTCCTTTTCAAATGTCTTCAAAACACGACCGTTCAAGATCACTATCCGAGTTCCGTATTTACAACGACAACAACAACAAAGAAAAACCATAATAATACAAAAAAAAAAAAAAATAAAAAAAACGACAACTTTCAAATAGTTTTAATTGTAGTGTTATCGGTTAGGTATATAGGAAAATAAATAATTTCGGTTCCTATGTATATTTTATTTATAAACATAAAAACCAAAAAAAAAAAATGTGTAAAATAATTGTGAAAATCGCACTTACCGGGATTGATGACGTCACACGGGAGTACGACGGTATCGTTAGTGACCACTCTGAAGCGCTTTCCCTCGGAACTGAATGTCGGCAACGAATCCGGTTCTGGGGTCGGTTTCTTAGGCGAAGCGAAACCTGTAAAAAAAAAAAAAGGAATCGAATCGTATTAAATTTTTGAATATTATTAAAGAAAATATACAAAGCCTATATAATTATTTTATATATATTGTTGACAAAGCATCACTATCAACTGAACTCCGCTCAGAATCGTATTTTTCGTAAGCAATGGTTTATCGTCGCTTACAGGTATACATTAAATTATTTATTACAGCGGCTGCACCCGTCGACATTATCCTAGGACGTTTTTTTTTGTATTTAATGATATATTAAATTAATGTTCCTATAGTAATTCAGAATACCACCATTATTCGTTTATATGTACGGGCGACTATAGATGCGATGTATACGTATTTTAAAATGTTGTTCGTATAGGTCCGAAATTACAATGCAGATAAACGTCATCATATAACGACGTCATGCGTACGAATATAAATGCAATACGATAAAAATTCGTATGACCAATGATTCGTACATCTAAGTACACCGTATTTTCGAACGGTTACACCAATACCAAATTATGTTCGTATACGAATGACGTACGTCATAAAAAATAGTCCCTAATATACCAGGAGCCCATGACTCGGACGCGATTGCCGCGACGAGTCGTCGGCGGCAGCCCTCGCCGCCGCAGCGCACACAGAACCTCATGTTCTCCTGGTACTGTGTGGTCCATAATAAAATTCCCGTTTCGTTGAAACGACCCCAGCCGAGAAATCCGCCCTAGAAAAAGTTTCGCTAACGTAATAATAAATAATAATTATTATTATAATTTATTATCCGAATGGTACGACGTCATTGTACGTCAATTGTATGTCAATGACGTTTGTCCGTATTTCAATTTTGAACCTGTACGAACAACATTTTCAAATCCGTAACTTCTTTAACTTACTTTTATTACTTTACTTACTGGGAACGTTAATTTAATGTAAATATAAAAAATATTTTATTTAAAAAAATTATGTATAAAAAAATTGTCTATTGTTTACATAAATATAATATGTCTATTATGTAGTAATAAAATAAATAGGTACCTACATCAAATTGTTAATTAATAATATGTTTAAATTTTTATCCGAAAGTTTTATCCGATAGTGAAAATATATACATAGTACTCATTATAGTTTTTTTATTTGTTTGTGAACAAAAATCTCGAAAACTATTTGACCGATATCGATCATCCTTTTTTTTTTTTCGTATTCTTTGTTGCGGTCGCTGGAACGCCATGATGGACTACTTTTTATCGAAAATCAGTAAAGTAATTTTAGAGATGTTTACCATAAGATACGCGAGAACTATAATATTAAATATAAATTTCTGTATATATTATCGTATCGTTTTTTTTTCTTTTACGAGTTTTTCACTCGGTGAACAGTTTTCGTTAACAAAACGACAACTCGAGGCGATCATGATACAAGGTAACGGAATAATAATTCGACGGTCGGAATAGAGTCGGTGTTAAAATGAGTGGTGTGGGCAGCACCCACGGGCGAATACGACATAATCTTCTTCTTCTTAAAAAAAAAAAAAATTGCCCGCATTACGAAACGTCGAAATATAACGAAAATCCGTGGTGTACCGACGGCCAACCGAAAAAGTTCAGAATTTTGTTTTAAAAACGCTGACGGACACGCGTATTTTGGTATATTTATTATTATTATTTTTGTTCGTAGTTTCCCCCCCACCTCCCGAAAAAATGACATTGGCCCGACATTCTCGCGCCGAACTTTTGTATAACACCTCTACCGACTTTCCGATTTCCCATCGTCTACAACGCCGGTGCACTCGTAAGCGGTATCGGTTATTGAAAAAAAAAAAATAATCAATCAGTCTTAGTTCTTTTGCCCGTTCGCGTAATATTTCTTTCGACGGCGGCGGCGTGTGGGTATAGCCGGTACTTAACCCGGCCGGAAATTTATTTACAAACACGCGATTTGAAATCGTATACCGGCCACAAGTAGCGTTATAGGTGTAATATTGAAATTAACATAATGCGGACGGCTGTGAAATGGAAACGATTCGACCAGAGGCGGATCTAGGAAATGATAACGCGAGGGGAGGGTGCGCGGTGAGAGGCCTTTTTAAAAATGCATACACAAGGCGTACATACGTTTATACGTTTATGACGAATCGAGCCGAGCGTATGATATCGGAGAGTAAACGGAGGTGTGGGGCGCGAACGCCCTCTCCCCCGGATTCTACGAACGTTTTGCGTGTTTTTTTTTTAATCTGACCGGAGCGCGGTGGTATTTTCATCGCCGTTTCAATATATAGTGTCGCGTGCATCTACATATTAATATATAAACATACATATAACGACACTCTATATATATTATGCTGCCCGTGTAACACAGTGTCACCAGTTGGTTATGTTCAAATTGTTTAATTGAACGATAAAAAAAAAAAAAAAAAAAAAAAAATCGGAAATGACCGAAATTATTATTATTTATCGTCCGCAATAACGCGCGTACAGTTTACGTCGGATATATTTTTATTGTCCCTTTAGATTATCATAAAAAGTATATTATAATACACAACGACCGCGAATTAATGAACACAACTTTTCATAAAATAATAATGACTTCGTTACACCTGTATTATATAGCTATAATATAACGTATAATGCGCGTGTTATATATATATATATGTATATTTATAACGTTATTTGCATAATACCAAAGTTGCAAAATGTATAATAAATTTAGACTGAAAAATTTAAATAAAAGTAAAAAAAAAAAAAAAAAAAATGTTTGTTTAATTTGTTAATTACATCAGGCGGAATGGAGGTTTTTTTTTTTTATTATTATCGTCAGTTGTCGAAACAGCACTTAATATAAAGAAACGGTGACGCAGTCGTATTGTACGGCGGCCGTATCCGTCGAATAATGCGAAATATAAATAAACAAAACGTCTTCTTTACGGAAAACAAACAAAGCGGCTGATTATTGTGTCGTATTTCCCGGCTTTACGGTGTTGATAATGTATAATTGAATCGCAATATCTCCGCCTTTAATTAATTACTATGATAAAAAAAAAAAAAAAATCAGCGTTTTGCATTCAAGTATTCGTTGTCGGTGAAAAAAAATATTATTATTATGTCCTACCACGGGTTTCGCGTACGGCATAAGAATCACCGAGATTCGTGTCGATTTTTAGTGCTAAATATAATATAATACAGAGTGCTATCGAAACATAATATAATATAATGTCATACCGACGACGGTGGTTTGTTAAAAGGTCGTATACCGCCAAGAATCGAAAAAATTACGTTTTCGGTACTCCCCCCCAAAAAAAATCAGAAAAATTACGAGCGCAAACTGGTAAAAGGGAGTATTTAAATACAGAAAATTAAGTCGGCAATGTCGACTAAACGATATCCAGGCGCCCTTTTAAAATATAATTAAATCACCACTGATTTTCAGTTAAAGGGGCGTACACCGCATTCAATGCATGCATGTATTTTGTGTACAAGGTATCGTGTGTATACGAGTAATTTTATTGTTTTCCATGATAAACATCATTAAAAACTGTTTCTTTGCAAAAGGGGTTTTATTTTTTTCGCTTCCTGAAAAAAAGCGTATTAATGGTATACGCCCGTTTATCGAACGCACCGTCGTCGACACGTTCGGACGGCGTAACGATATGGCATACGATTATAGATACACGGACGGGAAATCGGAAAAATCGGAAAACCGTAGTGTTGCGAGTGGCGCCGGCTCCTAAAAGATATAAGCGGCGGGACATGGAGAGAAAAACCAATTAAAACGCACGTACACTAGGAAGCCGTGCCGCGGACGACGGGATTATAGAGCAAGACGCCGGGAAACGGTTTGCGCACGCGCCCCGGGACACCCGCGGAAGAACCGCGTGATATTATAATTGTATTAGAAGACGGGAGATTGAATTTGGGGGTGGGGGAGGGGGTAGATAGAGAGAAATACAGAGAGAGCTCGTGACTCGTAAGCCTCCGGGACGGCGTCGGCGTTGAGATTTATCCGGATGCGGTTTTTAATTATCTTTTATCGTTGCGACAATGCAACAGAAAACAATTGACAATAATATTGCGTGCACGCGTGCACTGCGAATACGCGCACGGCAGACGTGTCTGATCGGCGATAAAACGAGTTGTCACGATCGGGTCGTTCGTCAGTCGCGTACCACACAATATGCAATGTGTTATAATAAATTAGTCAAATCACGAACAAACATGTTTTGGCCGTTGAAGAGGACGCGTAGTTATTCGGTCGGTTCTACGTCACGCGGTTAGGTTCGTCGGATATGTAAAAACAACCATAAAAAGACCGCGGAAAACACAACGACGGAAATCTCGAGCACAAAGTTTACGATTTGTACGAACGGCAGTTTACATAATTTAATCAAACGGTTGTTTTTCACGTGAACTTAATTGTGACCGACGGGTTCGAAATTGTAAATCGTTACGCGGGTATCCGGCGGTCTGTTATTACGTTTACCCGACGTTTGAGGCATGGCTGCAGCAGGTATATTTAGTATTGAAACATCCGGTCGAGGACCGAAAACTGCGTAACGGTTCAACTGTCCGGATGCAGACGAGCGGCCGGTGACTTTTCGTCCGGATTAGAAACGCGAAGAAGATAATTTTGCGATAATTTACCTAAAAATAAATATACATAAACTGAGCGCTAAAAGTACCTCGTATAAATGCGTGCCCGCAGATTTTGCGTGCACGCGTCTAAATGTCAAGAATGTCACAGCGCTGTTTGTTATTTTGTAATTATTTCGTTTAACCGTATATTTAATAGTTGACGCGTTATTTCGGAAAAACGCATAGCGCACAAACTGCGCCTAGACGGGAATGCCTCCTGTACCAGCGGTCCCCATTACGCGACATTTTAATACATTTTGCGGCGTCCGCACTAGAAACGTCCGAAACTAAATTGTCGTGCATTCTAAAATCTAACGTTCTACGCGTTTAATGAAATAAAATAAAATACATGCAATGTATTTTATTTATCTTATTATTCTCGTTTATTTTTATCTGTCCACTTTTCGGCCTTAATTGAATTGCCGGTTTGACAGACAAGACGTATAGGTACGTAGGTACGCGCAAGAATTCATTTAACAAATAAAAACAAAAATAAGTCGAGACCATTTTTTTTCCAGTCCAATATTGCGCCGATTCGAATCGGCTAACAGCACGCGGCCCGCGAGTAATTGTCGACGGTTTTATTCGGCCGTTTCCAGAACCCTAGTGGGTACCGCCGCCCTAAATTATTATACACCCAGGTAGGTATATTGTACACGAAGAATCGATACACTCGAAACGCGCGAAACGAATTTGTTTCGGCTAACCGAAATGATGACGTACGTCGATAAAACGTGTAAAATACGCGCGTGTAATCGACAAAAAAAAAAAAAAAAAACACTCGTTTTGTTTTGACTAAAGTCGAACGAATTTTCTGTTTCGATTACGGTCGATTGTACGGTATTTATCGTCTGGAATTCGTGCGCGATTGTGTTTTTCGTTCAGTCCTACAGCAACGACCGAAAAGCATCGCGCGCGCGCACACACACAGCTGCTGTTAGCCTCATATTTACTATTTAGACTAAAGCTCGCTATTACACGTGTACGCATTCGCGAGTTCGCGTGTTTCAGTATCACCGATTGTACCGAATGCCCGACGTGTAACGATATATTTTAGTGGCTGATAATGGTGATCAGTTTATCGACACCACGTTGGAAGTGCGCAAAGGCCGCGGTCTCCCCCTCTCCCCCCCACCCGTTTATGTTCGCACTGTAACGTCTTTGGGTATAGGGTTTAACCGAACCCGCATTAATAGGGGGTCTGGACCGTGGCCCCCGGCCAGATTTTGCCGCAATATTATCTTCTTATTAATGTATGCATTGGACTTTGTACTTTTGTATTCCAGTATATTTTTTCGTGCATTTCGTGCCTGTCCATCCGCTTTATGACTCGAAACAACACATTTATTTATTCGAATAATATTTGCGGCTTTCGGACATTGAGATCTATGCGATGTCTACGCTATTTATTATTATTATTTTTTTCTTAATTTGTTATTCTTTCGTCTTTCAACGAGAGCCTCGTTGAAAAGTCTGACCCCGCGTGGTCTCCGAACGTCTTAATCCGGGCTTGGACTCATAACGATCGTTTAATATACGCGAATACGCGAATAACTCTGTAACACGCGAACACGGATTATATTTAATTCACGTGTGCCGATTACACGTGCATTTTTCATTCGCGCGGACTCTGTGCTCGCGTGCGTATTAATTCGCGTTTCGACTACCGGATACCTTTAATTTAAACAGTTTCGCTCCACTGTGCACACGAGTGCAGTACTATATACGCCCTCCGATGGTTTTTATTATCTGGACGTCACCGCCGCCGTCGGTAAAGTATCGAAACTATCTCCGGCGTATAGCGGGGAAACGCGCACGCACACGACCGCGAGAACATTGGAAAAGCGCTTTTATTTATCAGAAAATTGAATGCCTGCTCGCCGGCCGTCGCCGCAAAGATTTATATATAATATTATTACTATACATTTTATTCTCTCCGGACCGCCTCGGTCCCTATTTCGCGCGCGATAATAACATATATAATAATAATAATAATAATAATATAATGCCGTCGTATCAGTGGCCTTTGCGACCGTTTTTGTCCACACGCGATATACCGGTAGGTATATACTATTACGCCGTACAATACAATTCCGCGGCCGTCCGCGAAGAATTATTTGCTACCGCGGGTTCAGAACGCCTCCGCACGCCAAAAGAATATACGTACGCGCACTATAAATTAAATATCGATATATTATATGTACATAGGGGAAACCTGGGTAAGTCGGCGATTTTCGAGAGTCAAACGTGCTATACATTATTTAAAGATATAAACGCGCAAACCTTACGCGCGTAAGCTGTGAAAAACTTCAGATTGTCACGAAACGCCGAATTGAGTTCAAATTATTGATTGTTACACCGGTCGAAAAAAATACCGTTTTATTGAGGTTTTTCACTCCGCAGTTTTCCCCTACGTTATAATTTCACGACGGACAAACATATATTAAGGGCTTTCAAAAAGGCGTTTAAAATAATCTAACGTCCAAAGTATACGATACAGACGAGCGGCGTATTTAAGACTAGTCTTCGATATTTGCACCATTTAAGTCAAATTCAAATCATTTAAGGCGGTCAAGTCTGCCTGCAAAATACCGATAATAATATATACAAAAAGTGGTCCGCCAATGAGCAAAGATGAAAAACTAAAATAATAATATATTTTATTTTTCAACGATGGGATTAACGACCTGGCGGGCACGGGCAAATCCGCAGGTCGATCGATAAACACGTCGTAACGAACAGAGTAAAAACCGAGGCCTATAAAACGCTTCCAAATCGAATAAAAACACAGCCGGTATTATGCGTGTCGTGGCCCGATCACCCGGACGATTCATCCGGCGGGGCTTTTTGCGGCACTCAAGTTTGCCGAGAATACGTACCGCAAATTTTCGTACACATACATTATATAGGTACATGGATTTCGGTCGATTATTTGTGTTTGTTAAATGTAAATTGTCGTCTGGTGACGGGTTCACCACGGCGGAGAGAAATGCAAAATGAATTGAATTTTTTAAATTTTGGGGTGTTTTTTCACATCGTTATACTATTATTATCCGCATGATAGAATCTAACCTAACCCACACCGCGTATTTATGACATTTTTAATATAGGGTGCCGTGTGAAAATCAAAAGTAGGTATAGTGTTTTTACCCCTAAAAATAAGGGCGACAAAAAATAACGCATGCGTGTAAAACTATGTAGAGCTGATTGTTTTTCAAGCGTTCCATAAGACAAATTCCGAAAAAAGTTAATGCTTTCAGCGATAATGAGTGTCTTACGTTGATCACCCTGTATACACACGCCTGTAGCCACGTCAATCTCGAGACGGTAATAATAATAGGCACAGGCGGCCCGGGACAGGCAAAGGCAACGACTACGGCGCGTACGCAAGTTTCGGGCTCAGACTAAGTACAACGTAATACGATTTGTTTCATTAACGAGACGCACCCACATCACGACGTAGATTCCGTCTTTTCAATTGTCGTTTCGCGAAAAACGTTCCGCGAGCGCATTTCTTTCCGAGGTGAACGACGTGTCGCTCAGGATTATATTATTATTAAACACAGTCTTGTACACATCGCACGACGTGCTGCACATTCCGTACGGTCGTGGTCCCCCCACCCCCTCCCCGAATTTCCCCCCGAAATCGTAGAGTCTAATATATTTGTCGCGGCGTATTATGATAATTAGAGAACTGATTTATACGCGCATAAAAGCGTCAAAAAAGCCGTATAAATATTTAAAAAGCAAAAACGGTAGAGCAATTTAAAGGAGAGTCTCCTCATCCTCTTTAATACCTCTGAGTTATTAAAAATAATTTTCTAACGCTTCGAAAGTGTTTCTTTAGCGTTAAACAATTTTATTTAATAGGTTTATAGAAACGTATTAAAGGGGAGACTTTTAAACCCCTTTACCACTTTTGCTTTTTTGAATACTTTTAAGTGATTTTTTTCAGTGCTCATTTGACGGTTCTTATAGTTTTTTTTTTTTTTTGCATGTAAATCCGTTCCCTAATAACAATATATTACGGTGTCTTATGAAATTCAACGACGATCAATCGAAATGATAATTTGATATTATATGCGCCCCAAAACTCAACAGTATGCGAGTATATTTTGAACGCATTGGACCATGTTCCGAAATTCAACGTTTGTCAACTGAATTGCCATCGAATCCAGCATTGAATTTTACCGACTTCCGTTCCGGGGACGGAAGGTGCCTACTTGATAATGTACCTGTAATCGGAACAGCGTCGCAATCACTCCGGCGTCCGACAACCATAGTTCGCATTCGAATGGCATTCGAAGGTGTGTCCGATATCGTAATGTTATATGTTTTTCCCGTTAATTCCGCCGGGTCAATTTAATTCAACGCTGCGTGGACGTGCCTTTCGAGGATTTAGAGTTTCGAGCGTCACCGTATTCACGTTGAAATTTCATCGTTTTTTTTTTTTTTTTGTATTTTGCATTTTCCTTTGAACCCACTACGGTATATATACGGTATACGGTTTCCGTAACACGAAATATAGGAGAAGCGAAGGAATTAACTTCTTATTTTTTCTCGTTTCAAGGTTTTCGCGTACCAGACGGGTGATTTTCGATTAAAAAAAAAAAAAAAAAAAATTACGAAAAATAATCGTTATAATAATAATGAATAACTATAATACAATGCGCTATATTAAATTATGCAATATACAATATAATAGCAGCGGTGATATACGGCGACGCGGCGATGTGTATACCGCGTCGCGCACCTATAATACCAATATATACGTATATTTACACACCGGCTATACCGCGAAACTTTTTCAAAAGTAAATGAATAAATTTACGCGATTCCCCCACCCCCACTACACACCGTCGTCCCTTCCGCCACCCACTACTCCTACCCCGGCACCGTCTTGACCCGTCGTCGGCACATCTATATATATTTTATATTATATTACCATTATTATTATTATTATTATTATTATTATAACGCCGCCGTGATAGTAAAAAGTTTTCGGTCCGCGAATACTTTTCGCGCGACAAAAGAGCTTTGCGCGACTCTCCGCCGCCGCGGCAGTGATCTTCGTGCGCCGCCCGACGATCGTCCGTATACATAAATGTATAAGCGTGCAGATATACAGGGCGTATAGTTTTAAAAGTTTCCCGGTCCCGCGGAAATTCGTTAAAAGCGTATATATTATTATATTTACACGCGGCTATATCCGCGCGGTCCTCGTGCCCCGGCCTCGCGATACCCGCGCGGACCGCCGTATAATAATAACGACGGCAACACCGAAAACCGCCGGGATCCCTGTAATTAAACGGCGATTCCGGGCGGGCGGGGGTGAGGGCGTCAACGGTCGCGCGTACTCGGACCGCGGATAGGTGAAAAGCCCGGCGGCGTGAAAAGCGCCGAGGACGACAAAGCCGCGACGCCGACGACGGAACCGCGCGGGTGACTTTAACACCGCGCGATCGCCTATTATACACATCCGAGGGCCGTTCACGGGCTGCGTGGCGGGTAAAACAACGAAAAAACCTCGGCCGGCCGGTTTGATTTATTTCGCGTAATATATTTTTAGTAGTACCGCGGCCGTACCTAAAAACGCTCTTATATAATACGCTCGTAATATATTATTATTACATTATAACGACCGTTACGGTTTTCGAATCGTTAAATCTTAACGATAATAAAATGTTTGTAATATATTATTATTATTATTATTATTATGTTGTACACTTTTTCTCTGTTAATATATATATATATATATATATAAATGCCCTTTGCCGCGACCTTTGTGCCGGGTACACCGACAATTGCAGTACTCGACCCGCACCGACGCGCCTCCGGTATTAGACACGTAACCGGACGGCCGGAGGCGCGTAACGTTTTGAACCGTTCGGAAATGTTATAACATCCGGATGAAAACGAATTCGAAAAACATAAAAAAAAAAAAAAAAAACCGTAGATATTATATTGAAAAAAAAAAAATAATAATACCGATGAAAATCAAGAGACGCGGCGGCGGAGAGCCCGTGGTGGGACCGTGCGCGCGTTACGTTCGGCTTAAACCGTCGTTTTCGCCTCCACACGCAACACCGCCGCACGGAGCCGAGCGGTAAAGTTTCGCGTTCGGGTAAATGCATTTCGCGCGTGTACCCGTCCGAGGGCAACAACGCGAGAATATGACGATGGATTCAACGGGGGCCCGCGGCGTTCCGCGACGACAACGCCAATGCGCGCGTATTGCGTTTCATTGTGGACTTTTAAAAACGCCGCACTCGGTCCGATCCGAACCAGACGCCCCGGGGCGAGCACACGCGAACTATGGCGTGCGTTTGCCGTTCGCGTTCGCGGGTATTCGTTCACGCGCGTCGCGGCGATAACGCGCTGCTATGCTTGTGTTGCGCTGAACCGCCGGCGGGACGTTCGGCACGGTGTCGCAACGCCGAATTCGAATCGTTAACGGTATCACGAACCCCGCGGTAAAGCGCGCCGAAACGTTTGTAAAACGGCGCGTGCACGCGAACGTTCGCGGCACGCGCTCGCGGATTCGTCGACACCGCGCGCGCAACAGGAAGCCCCGCGTTTCATGCGCGTCACGCGTCACCGGGTTCACCGATACTCGCGCGCCTGCATCGTACAGTCCGCGACGACGGTTCGAGACCCCGTGGCGGTTAATTTTCATGCGTCGGGTCCGCCGAATCAAAACGGACAACACTCCGAGCACTGCGATCGCTACGCTGTATACTGTGCGTTGCCCATCCGTCCGCTCGCGTTTTTTTTTTTTTTTTTTACAATATATCTTAAATTTATACCTCTACCTTCTTTAAGCATAGCTTGTGATGAAGGTAGGGAGTTAATATTACATACCAAATAGTATACAGATTGCTATTATTATAACAGTATCAACACGCTTAGTAATTATATACAAATTATACAAGTCGATTGAAATGAACTTTAAATTAGAACAAAATATAACAATTGATATTAAGCAATGATATTATATAATATTTTATGATATAAATGATAAAACATTTTGTTCAATATTTAATATTGACCAATTTTTAATAATATTTTTTTGCATATTTCGGGTTTTCGGTTAATTTTTAATTTTTAAATCTAAATCTAGAGAGTTATAAAATTTCGGACCAAGGTAATCCACAAATTTTTGACCAAAATAAATGAACGCATAATTAATTTGGGCATTAATTATCGCGCGACATCGGATTTGACCGGATCGTATTCTTTTCGCCCGGTCCGGGACGTTTGAAAGTTTACGGCCACGTTATAGACACGAATAGTTCACGCGTAACGCAATGAAAAGTCCACGGGTACATATTTCATGTTATCATATTGTCATTATTACGTATGCGACAATCGAAGCACTCTATTTTGCTTTACATTTTTCCGAGAGATTCGTTAAATATTTAACGCCCGCGTTCGCCTTGCCGTACGTACGGACGTGTTCGCTACCGTTTCATTTCGCATACGCGCGCGTGCACACTGCACGGCGTAGTAGGTATACACCAATTTGATAAAGAATGGAAAAAAAAAGAAAAAAAAAAAGGCCACCCCGCCGAACACAATGGCGCCGGCGTATCAGCGCACGTGTTATTATTACACACATAGGTGTGCGTGTGGGTACGTCGCGAAAGGTTTTATATTATTATTATTATATTTTCTTCCTCTATAAACCACCTATCTCTGTCCAAGTGTAACGTGTAATCGAATTGCGCGTTTCCCCTACACCCCCCCACCCTCCCTTTACGTTTTCCTAAATAAATAAAACGTTACGTATATATTTATTATAGAATAGGTGTTCAAATACATACAAGCACCTATATGTAGATTTTCGAGCGAAGAGCCGTTGCATAAAATATTCACAACGATAATATAATATACCCACACACACACACACAGTATAATAATACGTTTATTTGATTTGCGCACTTGTATATACCGAGACGCGCATCGTCGTTCGGTAAAAGTTTCTTGTTGTCGTTTTTTTTTTTTTTTTCTGTACTTAAGAAACATGCTCCCCGTTCGTTGCGAACGCAATCCGTAAACAATTCGATTGTCGGGATTAGCGTCGACAATGCCACTATAACAGTATACCCGTGTCGTTACAGTTTACTATACCCGTGTGACGAACGCGCCGCGGTTACGGATCATCGAAACACCCCGTACGATTAAATTTTAATTAACAACTAATCCAACGGTAAACTCATCGAAACCGAAAATCCCGGTACTACACTTTGGAGTTCGGATCGCGGGCAGGCCACCGATGTACGCGGGAAGTTTGTGGAGAATATCGTTCGTGGCGTTTTTCCCCGTACAGCTGTATCAACAAAAACCGAATCAACGCGTGTTGTCGTACGGATACCGCGTTTTTTATCACGTTACTCGCGTCACGCCGCGTGTGATGGGCGTCAGGAGCGGAAAACCCACAGGGGAAAAATGAAAAAAATCCCCAGATCTCCTACCGGTCAAAGCCTACCGATGTAGCGACGCACAGGCCGTGCGCGTTGCTCGGTTCACTCGGACACTCGGGTCACGGGCGCGACCCGACGATACAGTAATAAAAAAACAAAAAACCGGTGTTACCGGCGCGGCTATACAGCTGCGTTACCGCACTGACTGCCGGGCGTGGATTGCTCGAATCGAGTGCGCGCGATCGCGGACCGACCAACGGGAGCGTTACACTTGGCCGGGACGCGGATAACACTGTACTTTGGCGGGCTGTACTTTTTCGATTCGCTAGTTGCAAAGCGAACGCACGCGACAACACAACACGGTTGCGTGCGGCGAGTTACCTTATCTACCTTGGTTCAAGCCCGTTTCGCGCCATCTCTAGATGCGATGTCCAGCGCACCGGTTTCTAGGTCCGTGTGGAACAGTCCGACGGCGTACGCCGGTTAAAGAAAACGCGTTAGCCAGTATACTAGTCCGGACAATAAGGACGTGTCCCATTTTCCACGCTATAGTTACCGGCGTGTAAATATCCGGCGGGACCGAATCAGAACGCAAACATTCGATCGATATTTTATCACGCAACGTTATCGCGACTGTTTACACAGTATTGTGTTAAACAACAATCGAAACCGCGGTATACGGAATATAGGCGTTTCCTCATCGTCGTGCGTATCATTGCTGCTGGTATCTAGTACCCTTTATAGTGTACATCATACGTTATGGCATGAATGGAACACGGTGCAGGTTCTATACACGAGGTACACTGGATCGTACGAAATATTTAAAACTAGATAGTAGTGTATGCTAGAGATAGCGCAATGACTACTATACTAGTATCGCGGAAAACGCGCTTCAGATGACATTGTCATCGTAAAATAATTCACGGCGCACACGCGAATATTTCGCGGATATTAATCAATACGATTCGCCCTTTTAGCATTATATACGTAATACGTGTCTGCCGAACAAACGCTGGGATGAAAAGCACAAACGAATGGCTCATTCGGAATTTCAAAACCTCGAGGCGGGGGTGCCGAGGACGTGCAGCTCTGCCGAAATGCATACGGACACTTGGCTTACGGCACTGTGTAAAACAATCGGTTGTCCGGTTGTTATATTTTACGTACTTATCCCGTCGCGCGAAAAGCGAAAAAAAATATATATATTTTTTTTTTTTTTTTGAAAACGCTTTTATACAAACACGCTTTATTTCGTCAACGTTCGCGTACGGAAAAAGCGTCAGGGCGACATCGTAAATATCAATCGTTTATGATGACCGCCCGGCGCGTAATTCTCGATTAAAACCGAAATCGAATGGAACGTAAACGCAAATCGCAATAAATTTGTCCGCGGATTCGGTCGGATTTAGCGCGCGGACCGTACACACGCAGTGCGTGATAACACGAGCGGAAAACCACAACGACAATTACCATTGTAGTATTGCATGTAAACCGTTATTATTGTCGAGCGCTAATAATAATCGATTTTCGATAGTAAAAAAAAAAAAAAAAAAAATAAAACAAAAAAAATCGCAGCCGTCTGTTCGCGGGAGATTACGGAACGACCGCGGCGGCGTGTCGTACATTACACACGCGGCCACCGGATGGGTTCGCCCCGGATATCAATGGCTCATAAATTGTTTATGATTGTGACGTATTAGGTATACGTGCGATCGCGCATACGGCGGCTTGTACACCGATCCCCGTGAGCTCGGTGCGATTGTTTTAAGTAATTTTACGTACTACAAGGGCCCGGGGTACTTGGCTTTGATAATTCCGACGCGGCCGCCGTTTCATAATAATAGCGTTTAATGATTTAAGTGCGTGAATTATAGACGTCTATCGGAGTACGTATTACGCGCGTGCAGACATCGTTAGAATTACACCGGCCGCCGCGGCGAATACCCGCTGCTGGGATTTCATTAATAACTAATACCGGTCTCTACAGTTTCCGTGTGTACGACACGATATTGCGATACGGGTGTAAATATAGCCACGCGTAGACGAGCGGAGGTTAAATGGAATTTACAATGGCCCGGGCCGAGCGAAGTTCGGAAAAATGACCGTAAAATGTATACGAGATCGAATTGTCCTCGTCGATACACTCCGTTCCGGGATTCTTCGTCCGAAGACCCTTTTGTCGGGCGCGGTGTACGATAAGTGTGCCTAACACGTGTTAGCACCGCCCGTTATCGCAGGTAACACAATAGCGGACAGGTCGTGTCCTCGCAGTAGACACACCCGCGGTATTCGTTTCTCGCGATACGACGAACTCGGCAAGTCCGTTTACGCGGTTCTTTTGCGACATCGTCGTTACGATAGCGAGTGTCCGATTGCGGCGAGACGTTCGGCTGCGTTATCACTTAATAACTATATCAGATTTATACCATAGCTGCAATCGTAATTTATATCAATAAACTTGTTGCGTCTACGGGAAGGTTTTGAGATTCGAGTTTTAAAGACTGCTTTTCGTTTTAGCCGAACAGAGCCGGCGTGAGTTGTGCTTTTCTCCGTCGTTCGCGTAGAACGCACGCGCCGACTTCATTTCGAATTTTCTTTTCCTATTTCGATCACGAACCCGTTGCGCCCGAATGCCCGAATTTGCCGCGGCGGACCGCTCGTTTATAGTGACGCTCTGTGGTCGCCGCCGCCCGAATCGCGGCCGCCGAGTGTTATGAAAACGACGGACGAAAAGCGCGCGGCCCGTCCGCCGTCCCGGTCGGGCGTACGTCACGCCGTCGCGCAGTCCGTTGCGTTGATCGCGTGCGCTGAACGCTCGCAACGTTCGAAACTGTAACTGAAACGCTGGGGGAGGAGCGGTTTTCTTTCTTTTGTCGAGCGTTTAGTAAAAAAAAAAAAACGAAAAGAGCAACGCGAATCCGTCGTTCGAAAACGGTCGCGTACGCGATATCGTGTACACGGTGTCACGTCGGCTCCCGGCGCGGATTTCCATTTGTGCGCGGCGCGAGTCTACGTGCCCGGATTTAAAAAACGTAAAAAAGAAACAATTCCGTCGCGCGCCGCCGCACTGAACGGCATTCAAAACGTACGCGTGTGTGGTGCGCGCTCGGACTCGGTGACTCCGGAGAACCGTCAGGAGGGACGTCGCCGATTTCCCGCCGCGGTCGTTACGCGCGGGGCCGGCTCGCTTCACGGTCGTGTCGTCCCCGTCAAACGGCGAGACCGCCCGGGGGTGCCCCCGCACTGTTCGCCCGCGCGGTTCGGTCTCTACGACGCACGTTCGCGGCACACTGTGCACCGGCGACGTTGCGGTGTAACGGCGCGTTTCAACAGCGAGCGATACCCACGGTAACAATGTTATTATCATGTTGGTGTGTGTGTTTGTTGTTTGCGTCGCGCCGAGTCTTGGACTTCTCGTGCGGTCGCGCGAAACGATAATGCCGGAAAATCGACTCCACCATCCCCCCTTCGTCTTCGTCCGACGTCGTTTGTACGCGCCGCGACATTACAACGTCGTAATACGTCGGGGGGGCCGGTTGGGAAAGGGGGACGGGGTCGAGTAGTTTGGCGGGAGCCGAGAGGACTTTCACAAAGACAACAACCGCGAGAACGCGCCGTCCGTTATGTTCGCCGTCGGCTTTGCCGGGGGCCTGGCGGGAGGGGGCGAAATCGTCTGACGACTGCGGCCGGACGCGTGATAGTCTCGAAGGATAATAGTATTTCGCGAGTACGGAGTGCGCGTGCCGTGTGCGGCGGACCACGACGCCGCTACGACTGGCCGCTGCAACGACGGCACGGCGGTGTTTTGTACGCGTTGAAATTGCGCGGACGGTGAAAAGAGAGAGAGAGAGAAAACAAAAATAAAATAGCCGTGCCGGGATAATCGGGTCGCGGCCGCTGTCGCTGTCGGTAATTCACCGCGTATCTGTGCGACGATCGACCGTGGCTAACGAAAAACGGTTCTGAGCGGAGCAACGATCGATAGCGTTGCTCTGTCGACGGTATTGTCGCGTACAACGCGGTAAAACAATTACATAGCGCACGTTGTATGTTTCCTGCGACGATCTCTGTTTAACATTGCACCGATTTTCCCGTGGTTTTTCCCCCGGTCTTTTCCGTTTATCCCGAACACTCCCGGGAAAATCGAAAAACAACATCTTTACAGTACCTCCCCGGTCCGATTTCCTTTCAGGAAAAGTGCTATCGTTGTAAACCGGAGCGCGAAATCGCCGGTGAACAAATAAAAAAAAAAAAACAAAAAAAAAAACGAATAAACGTCGTTGGAAAACACAATACATTCTTCGTTCCATTCAGAATCCAAAAGATGGCCGCAAGCTGTGTTAACAACGTTCCGGACCTCCGCGGAAACACGAAAAATCGAATTTTCGCTCACCGATTCGTCACTTTAAGCTCGGAATAGAATATTATTGTTTCGTGTCAACATCGTTATGCTCGGCTTTTTAAACGGATCCCCATAGATATTATGCGGAAAACGCGCACGAATCCGCGCCCTAATATAATATATAATATTATCTTATACCGTAGACAAAGGTTACGCCGCCGCCGCGTCAATATGTATACAGTTGAATTTTTTTTTTCCTTTTATAAACATATGTACGGAATATTATATACGTATAATAAATCCCGTTGGATCCATTATGGAAATGCTGTAACAGAAGGGACATAACCTGCAGGCATAAATCGTACAAAAGAAAAAAAAAAAAAACAACGGAAATCGGGTAGCGGAAAAAAAAAACCCCCAACACTTTCGCATAAACATTGAGCTATATACGTGTGTGTGTGTACACACACACATATATATATATATATATATGCGTTTTCGGCATTTTGCAGTGATGTAATGTTTTTTTTTTTCTATTTTTCTATTTTTTTTTTTTTTTTTTTTAATACATAAATATTTTCTCGGTCGAAAATATCTTTCCGACTTTTCTCGCGGCCAAAACGCGGGGCATGTCTGGCTCATCGGATCAGTAAAAAAAAAAAAAAAAAGAAAAAAGAAAAAAAAAAATGAATAAAGAAACGGAACGCGTTCGCGTCCTGTACGCGACCCGTATGCGCATTATACGGATACAATACCGTATAGAAATATTGATAAAGGATCGAAATCCTTTATCGGTCCCTGTGCGCGCGCGGGGGAAACGGCCGAAGAGCAACAGATATTATTATACCGCTGTTATTATCGTCGTCGTAATAGCGGCGAATGTGTTTTGTATTTTTAAACGCGTTACGCTCGGTTTTTCGCGCGCGGTACGAAGAACGGGGAGAAAGAAAAAGAATGAAAGAAAAAAAAATAAACGGGTATTCGCGCGAGAGTTTATATCGTCAAGTGCCAAAAAAAAAAAAAAAAAAAAAAAAAAAACGTAAGCTATTCCGTTCGCGAAAAACGCCATCCCGCGGTCAGTGGCGTATTGTCGCGCGCGCTGGTACAGCGTGCGGCCGCGGCCGCGTTCGACGGATTTAAAAGCGCGTCCGCCGCAACAGTCGCCGCACCGGAAATAATCGAAACGCGTTGTCGACCCGCGCGGTGTTGTCCGTCGGCCCGGAAATCGGTTCGCCCGGCGGGGCGCGGACGCGCGTTCGTTGTCGCCGTTCGCGTTCGGTTCGGCGCGCGGGCCGAATTCCGCCGGTCAGGTCCGACACGTCGCGGTCCCGTATATAAAGACCGGAACAACGTTGCGGCGGCGCCGGGACGTTTTCGAAAACTGTGCGTTCCCGTTCGGCAATGGTCCGCGCACGCGTGTTCGGTGAAAAAAACTCCCGGGCCCTGTACGGTTGTTTTCAATTGAATTTACATACAAAAAAAAATAACAGCAACCGTTACGGCGTAAATTGTCTCGGTTCTCCGAATTATCGTAAAAAAAAAAAAAATTAAATAAATAACAATCAACTTCAGCCCGTCGTATCGATAATTTAAAAAAAAAAATCGCTAACCCATAACAATAATTATTATTGTTTTCGAAATGTAAAACGTCCGATAAAATTACAAACGTCGCGGTCCGGCCATTATCTGAAAACGAAATACGACGTAAGAGCAACGGTTTCACAATGTAGTAGCGTTTTTGTTATCGCGTTTACATCGTTATTATTACGAAAAAATGTAACGCGCAGTATTTTTATCGATCATTATATGCGTAAAAAAAAAAAAAAAAAAACCGTTTATTCCTCATTTTTATTCGGAACGTACCGACGACGCGTATCGCGTATTTTCTACGAAAAAAGAACTGACATACTTCGCACGTGGGCGGACCGGAGCGAAATTTCCTTCGTAAATTTTTTCGTACGCGGTATACACGGGTAAAAAAAAAAAAAAAAAATACATACAAAAAACGTATTTACATCTCAGATACATTCGACGAGGTCTCGTGGTGCGGACCGGACAGCGGAAATGAGTCGCGGAAACCGCGGCCGCGTCGTCGCGGTTGTTCGGTTTTTACACGCGCGCTCCGCGGGAAAGCTTTCGCGGCGGTGGCGGCGGCGGCGGCGGCGGCGGCGCGTCGTTATTGTTAATATTGTTTTGAATTCCGCCGTTTTTCCGATTGCGGCAATAATATGGACGCGACGCGCACCGCGGCCGGCGGGCGGGTAGCCGCGCAGACAGGTAGACGGGCAGGTGGGCTGCGCCGGGTGTGTTCGGCGGAAAAGCAATTCCGGCGAGTCGAGGTGGAAATTCGGATTCAAGCGCGAACGCCGCGCGGGAATAAATTCGTATTACGAGGCGCGTCTGGAAATCCGATAAAAAAAACTACGGCGCGCGTCGATCGCGCAATCCCGCGAACGAAATTGCCGCGTGGAAATTGTGCGAGCGCGGCGTTTCCTTCCTCGAAAACCAAATGGCTTTCGTAACTTTTCCGACCGACTACCCGACGCGCGCTGTAATGACAACAATAATAATAGGCAACGGGAACGGTAAAAAAAACAATGTCGCGTAATTCACCGCGCTCCAGAAATCGAAAACGGCACGGGCGATTTTTACCGGTTCGCGCGACGTGTCCCGCGAAACGCCCGGTAGACACGATAACGTTGAAAAAACGTATTTTCCGTCATAATTTGTCGTCGTTTTTTCTTTTATTTGTTAACGATACGCGCGCGCTGCCGAAACGACGGCCGACCTTCGGAAAAAAAAAAACCGACCGAACAACGGCCGCGGCGCTACGACGAGACACTGACGCGTTGTTGCGACGGACGGTTTCGTGTTCAGCACTCGCCGTCGAATCGCGCGCGTTAAACGTTCGTGACGGCGTGGCGTTAACCAACCGGAATTTCGGCCGGAACGACTGCTGTACAACAACAACAACAACAACAGCAACAACAACAACAACAACAGCAACAACGACAACAACAACAACAGCAAACACAAAAACAACAACAAAAACAATGCCCGTACGATAATATTTGTGCGCCGGCGTTACGCGTCTATATTCATTAATATAAACAGTTTTGTTGTGCCGTTTACGCGCCGTCGCTGCATCGCAGCAACGTAATAATTACGATATCTCGCGTGCGTGTGTTGCTCTGTGTTGTTTGTGTCTCAATCCGGGAAATTCGGTTTTTATTTTCCCCGGAAAAACGAGCAGCACACGTCATGTTTAACGCCGCCGTTCGTTCCGCGGGTAAGGTATACCGTCTAAAAGTGTCCGGAACGAAATGTATTCGGATAGGAACCGATACACGGGCGGGCGCGCACACACACACACACACACACACACACACACAGAATAGCGGCGCGTTGCGCTGTCTTGGAAAAAGTGTTTTTGAATATTTAAGGAATACATAAGAAGACACGCGTGACTCCGGGTTTTTAAATTCGGCCCGAAACCCACGCGGAAACGTGCGGGTGACCGAGAAATCGTCGTTCGTTTTATTGTCGGCGCTACGACGTGCGCGATTCGTATTTGTTTTATTCTTTCGTGCACGCATGCGACAATACTCCGTCTGCACCGGACGTACCCGGTCCGGAATCCGCGTGTATGGTATTTTTTTTTCCCAAATGTATAAACCGTCGCGCAGCCGGCGCGTCGAGGCGGAGGTAGTTTTCCTAATAGCGACGCGTACGGACCGCAGGGAAAAACGGAAAAGTGTACACGGAAATGGCGGTCCCGTCGTTTTCGATTTTGTTAGTTTACTGTTGAAACAATCGCGGGGACGGACGATAATTTGTCACGGGGCGCTTTATAATTAGCCGCGGCGTTCACAATCGGGGGGGGGGGGCAACAACAGTAGTGGGGCAAGTTGGTTTTCGTCGTTTCTTCACCGGATACCTTGGAAACCCGGAATTTCGTTTCGTCCCGTCGGCATAACGACCGACATGTACCCGTCGCGGAGGACGAAAAGAAAAAAAAAAACAAACAAAATGCGACGAAAAATCGTTTTTTATCGAAAAATTACGTTTTTAAAAATAATAATAATAATAATAAAAAAAAAAAAAACCGAACGGTTTTCGGTACAGAATCAGTTCGGTCGCTGAGAGCCGTGTCTACCGGCGGGCGACCCGTTGTTCGCGCGCGGCCGGTACACCGTAATTGCGGCGCGGGGCGGTCCGCGCAAAAGTAATTGTCCCGTCGTAGCGGATAGGAGCGGCCGAACCGCGAGAGTGGCCGTAATGCAATTGCGAGCGCGTGCAGACTTGTTATTATTCCGGGGAGAAAGCGGGGCCGCCGCCGCCGTCGCCGCAGAATGTAATTACCGGGATAGGATTTTCGTATACGGGGGATTATTATTATGCGTCGATAAGGAGTACGCGGGAAACGGCCCGCGGAGGGGACCCGCGGCCCCGGGAAACCGCCGGCGCGGCTCTGTGCCGCCCGGGCGGATAAGCCCGCGCGGAATTCCGGCCCCCGAAAAACCGCCGAGGGGGTAGAAAAAAAAAAAAATAAAACAAACTATCGCGGTGAATAACAATAATAATATGCGGCGCACCTACTCACGGTATATAATTACGTTATTCGGCCGGCGGCGGCGATGCGCTGATACACGAGATTTGGGGTGCGGGTATCCGGATTTCGGGACGCGGCCACCCTACGCTCGAAAATCCGATTATGATTCCGCGGGGCGGCGGCCGAAAAGATCGCCCCCCGATATCGCGTGGACGGGTCCGCCGACGGGTCGTCCGCGATGACGCGTCGACGATGACGGTCGCGGCAGGACCGTACACCTGTTCGGGCCGGGCGCCGAAATCGCCGCGAAACCCGTGTAAAATATCGAAATCGTTAATGCGAAAAATCTTATCGGGATTTTTTTTTATGGCGCGGATGGAGGGGAGGGTGCTAAAGATCCTCCGGTACGAACACCTCGTCCGCGTTCGCGCGTAGGACGTGCCGAGTCGCGGGTCCGTAACGCGACCCGCGGCGGAGTGCCCGGGAGCTGTTCCAAGGCGCGCAGCGAACGAGAATCGTAAAACCGTCCTCTCCACCCGACTCGATGGTGGGAGTCGGCAATTTAAAAGCCGGATACTAAACGAAAAAAAAAAAAAGCCCGTCCCTAATCGATACGTCAAACTTTTCCGCGCGACCCCGTTGGAATACCGGCACGCGTTTCGATATCGTGAATCGTAACCAGCATCCGTTTCCGTTTTCGGGCTGACGGGGACGAGATGTCCCTAAGCCACTCCCGCGTGCCCGGCCGCGCGTCGCACTTACCGTACCGTGACTGTACCGCGCAAGCCGAGTCGACATGACCGTCGGCCGTCGGACGGCCGTGCCGTTGAAACCGTTGAAAATCGCCGGTGTCCGAATCCACGCGCATTACGAGAGCCTTTGGATACGGCGGACGGGTGTGACCGGGGCCGAATTCCGGACGTTTAAAACGCCGGACGTCAATCGCGTCGAACGGTACGGTTTACGCGTTCAAAACCGCCGGTTTCGCGTTCCCCGTCGGCACGAGGTTTACCCGTTAACGATTGCGCCCTACCGGAAAGTCCGGAGACATCGGTCCGACACCGGGTTTTTGCACGGGCGCCCGCGGTAAACCGTATCGTCAGAGCCAGGGCCCGCGGGGGTTGTGCTCGGAGTACCTGCTGTTTTCGGCGAAACAATTGTAATTTACCAGTGTTAATGTTTTAGCGACCGGGGTGTCGCCGGAATCGGGGAACAATCGAAAACTGTACGCTCGCCGTTTTCGGTTACCGATAACCCGGTACCGTTCGGTCATTCCGTCCGTTTTCTACAACGGAAAACGCCGTGCCGCAGTATACCGAAAAAACGGTGCGGCGAGCAGCCGGCCGAGTGGGGCAGACGGCGCAGCGAAAACCGTTTGCCGAGAGTCGCGTCACGCCGAACCGCGCCCGACACGATTTGTCTAGGTGGGTGGGGGTGGGGGAGGTAGACGTTCCACTGCGCCCCCCCCCACCCTTTCGCCACAATGGACGCCCTCGGGCCCGAGCGAACCGATTTTCGGGGCCGGTTCGTTTCGTTTTCGCGGCGGGGCGGCCGGCGGAAAGCCCGGATTTTCGTTTTTTTTTTTTCTTTTTCTACGCCGGACAAGAGCGCGGCACATTCGCTTTTCATCGCCGCCGCATGCCCGCCGCCCGAAACGTTTGCCGGTGAGTTTTTTCGCGGACGCGCGCGCGGCCGGTACGCCGGTCGTTTCCCCGTCGGGTTCACGGGTCGCGAACGCACGCGGGCAACGGTTTCGCGGTACGCGACGACGGTGCGCCCAGTTGTCGCGCGTACGCGGCGACGATAATATTTACCGTTTCACCGCGGCGTGCGAAACGCAATTACGTCCCGCCGGACCGACTCGTGGGGAGGACGACCTCCCCCTGCCCCAGTCCCGGGGCGGACGTCTTAACGTGCACGGGACACCCCGCGCGTCGCCGGTACCGTTTTCGGCGGAATAGGCGGCACCGCCACACCTGTACATAAATCAGCGCCCGTAACGTCCCGCGAGTCGCCCGTATATTATACGCGTACGCGAGCGCGACGTATCATATATACGTGTATATATATTAAGTACTTACACTCGCGCGATGTGTGCGTACGCGTACGTATACGTATAATACGGTCGTATTATTCGCCGCGGGAGGGCGCCTCGGTTTTTTGATATTATTTACCGGGAGCTATTAATCAAACGGCCGCGGCGGCGTACGGGGGGCCGAGGCGTATCTTTCGAGGACGCGCGTTTTCTTCGTGGCCCGGTCTCCCGCCGCCGCCGCCGCCGAACGAAAATGATTACTGGATCTCCGGGGAGATGACAAATTGCTAACGGGATGGATGGCCGGGCGGGGGACGCGAGACTCCGCCGGTGGATGTTTCGTCGCGCGCAACCGCCGCCGGGGCGGGAAGACGGGAAGTGGGTATAGCGGCGGTCAGGTAGACGGGGCCGTCGTGTTAATGTGCCGGTATTATTATTGTTGTTGTTGTTGTCGCCGCAGTTGTTGTCGTTGTTATTATGCGCACGTTACGCCGCTCCCCCGTCGTCTGCCGCGGGAGACCGGCCGCGTCATAACAGTACGGGAAAGAACGTCGACTGCGCGCGACAGGACCTATTTGGCGGCGGGTGGGATGCTCGAGGGGAAGGGAATCGTGTACAGAAACTCCCAGAAGTCGTAATTTCGAAATATTTTCCCGTTCGCCGCCGCGACAATAATAATACGATATCGTTACAAAAAGACCGGTTTTTTTTTTTTTATCTTTTTTTTCGAGGGCGTTTTCTCCTCGTGTCGTCACGAACCGCCGCGTCGCCGATTCGGAGCGAAGTTTCTTTTACACGCGTGTACGTTTTTTTTCTCCCGGTTATCATGTGAGGAACGCTCGGAAAATCAAAAATAAAAAATCCTCTCGCTTACAGTGCCGAGAAGACGAAATTTCCTTTGAGAAAAAATACGCCACGCTTGACGCGCCGGTGCGAAATTTCCGGTAGAAAAGTCGAAAAACAAAGCGAAAAAAAAAAAAAACGGTTGTAAAACCGTGATGCGCGCGCACTTCGCTACGTACCGAAACTGAAGAGCGGACGCCGGCGCAGTAGGCAAACGGGAAGCCAGGAAATTACGGGGCGCGGGATAGTTCGATTTATTATTTACTGCGCGTAAATATTCTACGACGCGAACGAAAAGCTATTCTGAACCCGCGGCCAGTACGCTTAAGCCGACGGGTTTTCCGGGTTAGGTTAGGTTATTATACTCCTACACTCCTCCTCCTCCTCGCCGCACTCGCAGTTTTTCGCACCGACGGGACGAAATTCGCCACCGGTCCCGACGGAGCGATCCCGGATTTCCGGGCGTAGAGTCGACCGCGTGTTCGCCGCGCACGGCTCCGGATTAAATACGGTCCGGTAAAGCGATTCTCGTTTTCCGCGGACCTTACCGGACGTCGTTCCGGGTATAATCGTTTCCGCTGCGGATATCTCGCGGCGGCGGCGGCGGCGGCGGCCCGGGCGTCAGCCGTCGATTTTCTCCGCGGTTCTCGCGGGAAAATCGGAAACCGGGCGCGCGGACCCGTCGCGAACCGCTGTGTGGTGGGGTGGGGGGGGGGAAATACCGCGGCCCGGCTCGTGTTCAAGCGTTGCGCGGGTACGGTTTTCGTTGTCACGCGACGACGGGGCTGATGCGGAATGCGTGTTTTCGCCGCGGAACACGCATTCTCGATTAAAAGCGCCGCGGCCGGATCTCCGGGAGGGGGCGACAGTGGGGCCCGTCCGCGCGTCGATCGCGACGATTTCTCGCGCCCGCGACGCGAACAACGTAGCGGGCCGAACGACAACAACGACAAAGACGACGACGTTTCGCGCCGGTTCGCCGGCTGCGCGTGTACCCGCCCGAGAACGCGCGCGCTGAGAACGATAAATGCGATTCCCGCACACACGCACGCCCTTCCACCCGCCGCGGGCGAAAAATTAATTTCGAGCCGGCAAAGAAAAAAAAAAAAAACACCGAAAAATCGCGTTAATTACTTTACTACGCTCTTACGGGAAAACCAACGAAAATCGTTTGGATTCCTATAACGGCGGTCGCGGCATTGTCGGCCTTTTACGTTAGGTTTTCAAGATGTTTTCTCGCCCGACATTCGGCATGCATGGCGTTTACTCGTTTCGTTCTATTTGAACCGACACATGCGCCCGGTCGGACGATTCGCGAAGGATAAAAGATGACACGAGTAACACTAGATTACTACAGAGTACTGGACGGGAGTTGAATAAATTAAAAAAAAAAAAAAAAAAAAAAAATTGGACAAACAATAACAGTGTTACCGTGTATAATAATGGCCGAACAACAAAGCCGCAGTTACGGCGCGTCGTTANATTAATTTCGAGCCGGCAAAGAAAAAAAAAAAAAAAATTGGACAAACAATAACAGTGTTACCGTGTATAATAATGGCCGAACAACAAAGCCGCAGTTACGGCGCGTCGTTAAAACGAGCGAAAACGGGGCGATTGCAGCCACGAGAATAATAGCGGCGCGGCACATAAATAGGACTGCGGTCCCCGGTAGGATGGGACGGGACACGGAGCTGGACGTCGGGAACAGGATGCGGCGGGAGCGTCGAGTGTGCCGTCCAGAAGGGACGAGACGAAACGAACGGCAGCAGTTAATCGACGAACAGTGAGCGTGTTCGGATGTTCGATGGACGTTGACGGACGAGCGGTAGTGGTCGTGTGCAGGGGTGGTCGATTTTTATCAGGAAAGCTGCGTAAGAATAGGACTTATTTCGTACCGGTTCCGGTCGCGGCTGATCATTGGTAACATTTTTTTTTTTTTTCTGAAACGCCGCCGGTGCAAAGCGTGTGAATAACAATTGTCGCGCGTGAAATTTCGCCGTTTTTCCGCCGACGCGGAATTTCCATAACATCGTTTTAATTATTGTAATTGCGCGGAATTACCGGTGCGAATATTAAACAAAAAAAAAAAAAAAAACCCGCGCGGATTATTATAATTAATCATTTCGGATTTTCGACAGCGGGCCCCCCGACCCCTCCTCCCCCCACCCGGTAGCGCGAACAGTTTATTAATTTATTATCAATATACACGCGATTTCAACGGTCGGGGGAGGGAAAACACGGCACCTGTCCGAACGGTGTGCAGAGTTCGTACGTTCGTAGCGAAAAAAAAAAATAAACCCGAATCCGTCCGAATCGTCGGTGCGGCAATCCGGGGATATTACCTGTGCCGCGCGAGTTACGCGGCGAGAACCCGTAAGCCGTATTCCCACCTCCGTCCGACCGGCGAACAACTTTTCCGCCCGGAAATCTCCGATGCCCCCCGATCGGAAACTTTACCGGGCGAACGTTCCCGCAGAACTTTTGCGCACCGCGACTGGTCGTTTTTCGATTTCCCCCGGAGTTTTCGCGGCCGCGGTTTCGGGAAATTCGCGGAAACCCGCCGATTCGGTTTTCCGCCCGCCCGAATCGCCGACGCGTCGGAACCCGCCGGGTCCGCCGACCGTCCCGGGCGAACGTCCGAAATGTGCTTCGGCCGGGGTGTTCACGGCGACCGCGTCCACGGCCGTCCGCGTTTCGTGCGTCGGCCACCGGGACGTTCGAGAGAACTCACGTCGCGTTCCCGGACGCCCGGACGCCCCGGCGCGGACCGGCGGCGCGACCCGCGGACCGTTTGAGATTTCCGCGGCCGTGCGCGCGCGGGGCAGGGAAACGCGATAAAAACGATAACGTCTCCGTTTGCGTGTTTAAAAGGGCGTGCCCGCGAGTGCAGTGTGCGCCGCGAGCGGATCGCTCTCGCTCTCTCCCTCGCTCTCCATTACGATCCCGCCGATAAAACCGATAATAAGCCCGCAGCGGCATTATAACGGCAATTATTATTATTATTTTTTCCGTTTTATTACTGTTTCTGACACAATTATATACCGCGCGCGCGCGCGCGTTTTTTTTTTTCTTCTTTCGGATCCGTCAGATTTATTACGGTGCCCGAAAAACGGCCGCTGCTAACGACACAGCAGATGGTCAAATATACGCGTACGTATATTAATCTATACGCACACATACGCACACATATTCTCTTGTAATTTTTCATCGTTTTTTTCCTTTTTTTTTTTTTTTTTCCACCCGCGCGTATTAATCGCGTTACGGCGAAAACGGTTCGGTTTTTATTCGCGGAGACACCGCGAACGACTTTTGTCGAGTCGACAAGCCATTCGGCGTACACAACGACGCGTCACTGGCGCGGATCGCGTCGAACGGACGGTTCGCGAAACATACCGCCGTCCGCAGGCGCGTATCAACAAAGAACGGCAGCCGCGCGATAACGTAAGTGGTTTTTCGTGGATTCCGAGAGCACATACGAATCCGGTCTCTATGCTGATACGCTTCACGTCCGTTTGTAGAGAACTAAACCCAACGACAGCGTTTTGAACGAAATATACATTTTTTTTTGGAGCCGAATAGGCGACCACGCGCGATTTTCGTCAATCTTCCGTACGGCGTCGTATTAATCGGTTACATTTCAAAAATGTATCAGCGGCAGCCGCACACGAAGTAAAAGGAATCGCAAATAATTAATTCGTGTATATGTAATTTCGAAACTACACAGTATGGAAGTTTTCCGCCGAGTCTGACGACAGCGTCGTATGTGTGTGCGGTAGTTATTCGAGCGCGCGCGTACGTTCAACGTCGATAAAATCCCGTCGCCGGGCCCGCGTAAACGCGCGTGTTTTCCCCGCGTGCCGACCGAGCGCACACGGCGCCGCGTAAACGGCGGCCCGCGGAGAACGCCCGGGCGCAGTGCGTACAGCCGTGGACCGAGTTCGTCTCGCGGCGGCTGGCCGGCAAGCGGCCGTCGGGAGGAGAAACGACGGCGTAAAACGGCCGTCGGCCAATCCCGGCCCGGCGCGCGCGCGCGTTAACGACCGCCGTCATCGCGAGACCCGACCGGATGTCGCGCGCGCGTCCCGACGGTTACGATACCCGTGTCGCCCGTGTTCTGCTTACGTTACGTCGGCGACTCGCCGGAAGCGTTTCCGTCCGCGTGGCGTGTGCGTTCCGGCGTTCCGCTACGCCGTTTCGGCGAGAGAACAATTGTGCCGCCGCGCCGGTAAACGGTTCCGCCCGACCGCGATACCCGCGAAAAGCCTTTCGCCGGCGCCGTCCCGGTGTTCCGCGCGGCGTTAGCCGTCCCCGCAAGTTGCGTCGGGGCCGTTCGTCGATGCCGCGGCGATCGGATCGACATTCAAACCGCCCGTTAGTCATGCATTTTTATGTACGCGCACATACAGATGCGCGCACGAGAACCGCGAAAACAACGGACGCGTCAGCTTTACGCGTGCTCGCCGAAAACCCTTTCGGTTTTTTTTTTTCGTACGTCACGGATTCGGATTCGATTACCCGCGGCGATCCCGGGCGTTTCGCTCCGTAGTCGGCCGTTACGTAGAGCCGTGCAAAGTTATTGCAGTTGTTCACGCGCGTTTACAGCGATTTACCGTTATTGTTATTCCGGGTACACCGCGTGAACACGCGCACGTCGGCGTTTGATTTTAAACCCCTCCCCCCCCTCACCCTTTCGTTTTCGCGAACCGGATTCGGGAACGATAATCGATTCCGTTTTAAACGTTTCGACACGGGTAAACGGCACGGCGCTATAAGCATACGGAATTTTCACCGTTTTCGAGTTTTAAACGGATTTAGACCGGAGGAGTGGGGAACAAAAAAAAAAAAAAAAAAAGGGGGGGGGGGATCGTCGTGTGAAACGGCATGCGCAATTCACCGCCGAAAGTCGGTGACTCGTTTAAAATGTGCACGAGGACGAACATTCGTGTGGAAATAAAGCCCGCGTGTAAACGATTCCATACAAAATGATCGATTGAAAACCCATCGCGAATCGAATCTGTGTAAAATCCTCCGAGAAAATCGTCGGACGAAAACGAAAAACGAATCACCCGGCATAGTTATGTTCATCGCTATAATTACACGGAAGATGATTTGTTTTTTTTTTTTTGTCTATATTTCAAGAACATTATAACGAGTTCGCTTATAAAAAAAAGTACGCGCGCAATAAAAACACTATCTACAATTTACATTCATTAAAACTTCGGAATTATTAACGGGTCAATGTTATAATTATAATCAAATCGTTTTTTGTTTCATTATTATTTTTATTATATTAAATTTTTTTTTCCGTGGGGAGGTTGTAAATTTACGGGTTCTTATAAAGACTTTAATGGATTTAATTAACAATTCGTTTCCGTCTTGGTTTTTTCACGCTTAAAATATGAAAATATTAAAACCGTTGTAATTAGTTCGCATAATTAAAAAAAAAAAACGTTCAAATAAACTCTCTTAATTTGTATTTACTTGTTTTTTTTTCTTTTTTCATTTTTAAAAACGCTTTACGAATTATACAAACGATTACGGCATCATTATAGTTTTCGGTGAGCATCCGCAATATAACATTTATTGTTTACTCCGATTATTATCGAACACCGACAAGTCAATACAATTGCGCAAACGAGAACGTTATAAGACGTCGAACGAAGAAAAAAAAAAAAAAAGTAAACAAAATAGTCGCCAACGCGTAGACCATGTAAACGCGCGATATTATGTATAATATCACCGAAATCACCACTTACACGGTTTACTTGTACGATTTCTATTTAACTAGCCGCGCGCGTATGTTTTGTAAACTTCTCGCGTAGAAAAGTTTGTGCCTCGTTATTTTTGTTTATTTACGCCGGACAAATACGGTATGATGTTACGAAACAAAGTTCCCGTTTGATCATTATAGTTTGTAAAATTCACTTGTTAAAATGTTGATAAAAAAAAAAAAAAAAAAAAAAAAAAAAAAACAAAAAAAAAAAAANTGTATGCTATACGAAGTTATTACGAACATTTATTGTTTACTCCGATTATTATCGAACACCGACAAGTCAATACAATTGCGCAAACGAGAACGTTATAAGACGTCGAACGAAGAAAAAAAAAAAAAAAAAAAAAAAACTAAACTAAACTAAAACAAAATTGTTTAAACCGTATACGGCAGCCTATAAAACTTTTCTCGTATAGCTGTTTCAACCTGTAGTGGAAATTTCTACTTTACGGCCAATTTTCCACCGACTAACGAGATCCACATGGCGTTTACCGTGTTCACGCGTTGTCTTTGTCCCTGGTTTCTCGACATCTAAGGCGCTTCCGATCTCACATCCCCAATCCTCTACACCCATGCCCATCTGCTGTGCCGGTCGTATTTTCCTCTGTACTCCGTGCATCCACCCGGCAATTTCCCGTCTCGTCCTCCGGGACTTTTCTAGAGACATTCGTTTACACGGGATTCCGTTCCACCGCTGAAGCCCGTGTACCCGTCACCCCCGTACAAGCGTGGCCCGTCCGCCACAATCTTCTCGTCCGTACTTCGTGTTTCGGAATAAGCTGGCTCTTTATAGCGTCACTGTTTTACCATGACCGCGGGTCTGAGCATCGCATCGCATACCATACAAACTACCCGGTGTTGGCGAATCATCAAAAACAAAAACAACAGCGTTTTCATTAACCGTTGCGTATATATGAGATGCGTCATAGTGAGTATAAAGTGCGGATTATAATGCAATATGTATTTTTTTCCGAACGCCCCGAAGCAAAGCTTTCCAAGCACGAAATTCGTTCCGTGCGAATTAAAATACGAAACTTGGCGTTTTTTGACGTCCGAAGTGAATTTTTTAGATTTTTAAGCCGACCTAACAAAACTTCGTATAGTATTATATGGACAATTTGACAAAACTCATATTTATTTCCTCCCAAACGAAACGAAAATCATTCGTATTTCTATTTTTAAAATGCATTATGGATTTACTGATTGTACCAGATAAATTACGATGCCGGTTACAATAAAGAAAACGATAATCTCGATTTATCGACGTCGTATAACGCACTACTCGCACCGTTGTGTTTGGTGAATGTTTATACCTTGCAAAAAATAGAAATTATTTTTTTCGACGTTTACTAAAATGTTTACGGCATTTTTTTTTTTAAGGCATTTCAGGTTCTGAATGGGGACCGAAGAAGCTTATGGTTTTACAGTAATGTTTATTATTTTTTTTTTCGTTCATCTGTGAACAACTTTACTACCAGAAATATTGCGCCGAGTGTAGCACTTTTTCCGAACGGAAACCTAACCGGGGCCATTTTTTTTTTTTTGATTTTTCTCAATATATTGGCGAAACGTGCGAATGTACAGTAAAAAATACCGCGACATCACGCTATCAGCTGTGCATATATTTCACGGCCTTTTCGAACGGTTTTTTTCGCTTACACGAGTACGTTTAATCGTATTTTTTCAAGGCATTTTTCTCGGGGGGGGGGAGGGTTTATTTCTGTTCAGAGCTCTTAAATCCGCACTCCGCAACGGATAGAGAGTATTAACGGTATAAACCGGGCCAATCGACGTGACACCCCCGGGGGTTCGGCCGTTGCGATTTTCGCGACGACGGTGCGGAATTCTACCGGAATAACCGTTGACCCGTTGACCCGGCGTCGCGGCGCACTGTAATGCTACTAACATACACAATACGGTGTGTATATCATAACACAACATTGTATACCATCGATATTATCTACACTGCGTTTTATTACAGCGGACGCCGTTTCATTTTGTTAGTTTATAACGCAATTTAGATTAACACGAACGGTTGAACGGCTCGTACAATAATGAAACGCGACAACGGCAACCGGACGACGCCGCTCCGCTATTTTCCCCGTACTTTCTCATAAGAACAGTCCCCCGTTCGTTCGGCCACCGGCTCCCGTCCCGGTCACCCGTCGCGTTTTCCGTCGCCCCGCGAGCGCGCGCTGTTCCGGCTTCCGGCACACACCGCGATCGTCGTTTCGAACGCAATCCAGTGTTTAATACCTAACCGCCCCTACCGCCCGGTTTCATCAATGTAACAAATGTCTGTGACCATACCCGTATCCAAACTCGACGTTGCTGCCGAGGACCCCCCTCGCTCGGGACGGGCAAGTATATCGCCGTCGCCCTTCGTAGCGGCACACCTTATGTCAATTGTCCGTTACCGTGGTACGGGTAATCTAAGCGATCGGTGGTGGTGATCGGTTCGTTTATTTCGCGCCCCTCTATATTCGTTTCGTTTCGCGGTATTATGACGCGACCGCTTTCGCGCGGGACGTCGCGGACGTCAACGTCGTTCCACGCGTTCGCGGCGCCGTTGGATTTCCGACCGGTTTCGGTGTTTCGCGAACGTTTTCGGACGTCCGGTACGCCCGGCGAACACGGCCGGGCCGCGAGCCGACGGAAACGGGGCTCGTGATCGCGGCTCGCGGCCGGGCGCGTCATCGATCGATTAACGTCGACAAACCATTGCACAACACGGGCACGGCAAATTCGCGCGCGTATCCGATTCGGGAAAACGAAGCGAATTAAATCGATGCGTTTTAGAGCGGTGCGGTTCGCGAACGAAATCGCGGAAAGTGCGCGGATGGCAAGGGGCTGTTCCGATAACGCGTCGCGGACTAATTTGATATTGCAAATTTAACAAACGGACGTTGTTCCGCGACCGGCCGGGCGAAATTGTTCGATGCGCAACACGCGGATTGTACCGGGTGCGTTTTTTCTCGAATGGAAAATAACGAATTAATCCGAGCCGGTATTTCGCCGGAGGAAACGCCGTAAACGTAAACGCCAACGTAAAACCTAACCGAACCCGTTTAGCGGTCCCGGAGTACGGACGACGGTAGCTCGCAACGGTCTACGGTTACAATCGGAAGTGCGGGCCGGACAAAACTTCTCGGTGAAAAACCGCGGCCGAGGGAATAGAAACTCGGGTATTCTCGTTATTCCCGGGAAAATTTGTCGTTTCGACGGTTTCGGAACCATTACCGCTGCACACACACGTATATAAACGTATACGTATGTATAGGTACGCGCGTCCGTTGAGAATTCCGGGTCCGGGTTGTTGAAATGGAACGCTAAATTTCGTAAACGGAAATGCGTTTAATACCGACCGTACGCGTAGTGTATCGGGGGGCGGTCGTTTCGTCGTGCGTATGAAACTCGAGTGTGTGTTATTTATGGCGACGGGGCAAATAGGTAATAACGGCGTACTATAACAGTGTCCAATAACGTTTGATTTCCGATTGCGTCCTGTATTTTATGTGTGTGTAAAAATCGAAAAAATACGATCGAAAACGTTAAGCTTAGAGTTTTCGTCAAAAAAAAAAAAACCGACGTCTCTGAAAAGAAAAACTTTAAACGAATAAGCGATTGTTGAATTTTTTTTTTTTTTCCTGATTTTCGCTAGCGGGTTAGTCTATCTATCTATAGTTTTAGATAGACGCGCTTACACACACACACACACACACGAGTGCCCGCTGATGTATTTAACTGCAGCGACAGTTTTGAAACTCGAAAGTTTCCTTAGTGGCCCGCGGGTACTGCGGCGTTTTGTAATATTTATTTATTATATTGTCGACCACTCGACCGGCCCACAAGCACGACCGAATAAAGTGATAAAGTCGTCGAAAAAAAAAAAAAAAGGGTGTGTACACGCGCAGCATACGCGGCGGTTAGATAAATAAAGTTTTCGCTGTCCGCGACACACTCCGGCGCAGTCGGCGGATTTTCGTAGCCTGTAACAGTACGGCCGAGTGAAAAATGCGCTGCCGAACGTTGTCATTATTCACGTTCGGCCGCCGTCAATGTTTTTCCGATTACAGAGCTTGATTTTCACGGTGTTTTTTTTTTTTTCGTTTCCTCCCCCCCCCCATCGTTTTCCCACCGAGAATGTGTTTTCGCTCCGAGGTCGTCGCGAACAGCCGGACAGGCCGTTGAAAATAATTTCCATAGACTTTGTGGCGACCTGCCGTTGTGCGGTCCGCGAAATCAGAGACCCGGCCGTTGCGCGGCGACCGAGAATCAGCAGGGCCGCGCGGACGAACGAGGAAATTGGAAATCTCAACGCCGAAATCTGTTTGAATCGAAACGCCGTGTGTATACGCGAGTAATTTCCGTCGTAGGTTAATAATTGAAAAAACCGTAACGTAACATTTTACGGTCGCTTGTTTCTTGTTCGTTTTCCACACGGAGATTCCCGACAACTATTCCCCGCACACTCCGAGACGGCGTTTCGTCGATCGTTCCGTGCGTCCGACCGTCGAGACACCGAGTCGACAACCGTGACCGCAGTACGCGGACGGACGGACGGACAACGCGACGGGGGGGGGGGACACGGGGCGTTCGATGCTCGCGTTCGGGACCGGTTTTGCGTTTCGGGGCGGGTGGCGAGTGAAAACGCTCCGCAGTAGGGTTCGGTACGACCCGCGACAAACGGTTTTCCCGTCCCGTTCCGACGCGCCAGGGGGCCGTTCGCCGGGACGATCCCGCGAGTACGGATCGCACGTTTTCGATCGGAACGCCATATCGTTCATTCCGTTTTCGCGGTAGGCACCAGACGGTGGCGTTCGAGTGCGCGGACCGCCGTCTTCGGGCGCGCGCGACCCGCAATTATAATTGTCGACCGCGAACCGGTGCCGAACACCCGATTACCGAAACGCCGTAACGAGTCCGCGCGCGTCCGACGTCCGAGCAGCCGCGGCGGTCACTATGCGGCGGTGTAGACCGACGCAACGTTGTCGCTCGCCGGGGGGGGGGAGAATCGCGATTTTCGCCGTCCGACCTGACCGGGCGACGACGACGACGACGCCGCGGAAAACCGATCGCGAAATATTCGCAATACGCCGCGGGTGTTCTAACGGCACTTTTAGCGTGCGAGACGTGTTGTTTGCGGTTTTTTATTTTGGAAACTCGCTCGAGCACATCACGAGAAACCGGCCGTCCTGGTTGTCCGGGGGGAAACGCGAGATTCGCGGGGCCCGCGTTTGGAAGGCGGCCGAAATCAGGCGTTCCGCGGCGCGCGAACCGTCAAATAAATACGGGTAAAAATAGTTATTAGAAATTATTTTTTTATTATTATTTTTTTTTTTTTTTTTTTCCCCCCACTCGAAATAATTGTTACGTGATTATTAAACGGATCCCGGCGAGGGCGCTTTTCGCTCTAGCCGTTACATAGAACATTAAAAAAAAACACGTTCGAGTGCAATATTGCCTCGTTCAATATCCGCAAAACATAATGCGGGTTCACTTGACACGTTTTATCTTTCCGCCCGCGCAGTAATTACACGATATACGTGTTTTGCTGCGCATTTTCCTCTTTTTTTTTTTCTTTTTTTTTGCCACTCGCGTACCGGCGCTAAATTACCCGTCGTCTATACGATACTATATTATTGTTATTAATACATTTTTTCAACG